TCCTTCCCCTCCAAAAAAACATGGCCAGTTATTTTCAGCTCCAAATGGCAGGTAAGGGAGAACAGTGGTTCACTTAAAGTCAGGTGTGCAGCACAATCCTTTGCATTTTTACTCAGTAGGGAGCCCCGCTGAATTCTCTGCAAATATTTGACAGCCTAGGAGAGTTTGTGGCAGTGGTGAGATCTGAAACTGCCTTTCTGTCTCAGAATCATAACAGGGTTGTTGTTGTTTTTTAAGGCACATATTTGCATAAATTTTGCACAGGCTTACTTTTAGGGACAGATGCAAATTTAGAAGTAATTGCTATAATTTAAACAGAAATGCAAGGAACGCGGGTGGCGCTGTGGGTTAAACCACAGAGCCTAGGACTTGCCAATCAGAAGGTCGGCGGTTCGAATCCCCGTGATGGGGTGAGCTCCCGTTGCTCAGTCCCTGTTCCTGCCAACCTAGCAGTTCGAAAGCACGTCAAAGTGCAAGTAGATAAATAGGTACCGCTCCGGCGGGAAGGTAAACGGTGTTTCCATGCGCTGCTCTGGTTCGCCAGAAGTGGCTTAGTCATGCTGGCCACATGACCCGGAAGCTGTACGCCGGCTCCCTCGACCAATAAAGTGAGATGAGCGCCACAACCCCAGAGTTGGCCACGACTGGACCTGGTGGTCAGGGGTGCCTTTACCTTTACTAAACAGAAATGCAATAGAGCCCACCACAGTGAAGAGACCGTTAAAAGGGGACCTATGCACCTGGGCTCATTCTGCTGTCCAGTCTGTTGATGGGTAACTTCAACATTCTCCTTTCTAATGAAACTGGATTTGAACTGGACAGCCCTTCAAAGAGAGGAATGAACGTATGGGAAAATGATATCTGGGATACCGCAATGTCTGAGCATCTCACCAGGTACAGGTGGGTAATTAAGGGCATGATGAAAAGAGGCACCTTCCAAGAAATGTGGACCCCTTTCTTTAACTATGTTAATGACTAAAATCAAGACTCAGGACTCAGCTACACAAGTCAATTCTAACATTAAAAATGTGCTGTAAAAATGTGACGCCAGATGGTGCCATAGAGCAGCAATCAGAAGTCAATGGTAAAATGCACTGGGAGCTATAAATACACTTTATAACATTTTTCATATCTGTGTAGATCCAGCTCTTGTTATACCCATCACACAATATTCTCAATGGACAGGTTACGTCAAGTGGTATGTTTGAACATTGAATGTGTAAGCTTATGTCTATAACAGATGGCTAGAACAAACACCATTAGCTGTACTGCTGGATCAGTGTTTAATAGCTTTTGCATTTGTTAAAAACCAACAAAAATTGTTTAAAAGGAGAGAAAGAGAGCGGACTGTGCATGTGCCCTAGCCATTCCCATGCTATATCAGTGCTCATGGCCTCTTTTCCAGAGGGTTGGAAAAGGAAGCCTGCTTTTCCTCAAGGCATTCTCAAGGTCTTCTTTTGCTCTGGTCACCAAGCTGAGCTCATGGGAAGTCACTGGATGTGTAGCAAAGGAGGAAATATAACCTGCCAATGCAGCAGTAAGGGATCACACAGACATTCTTAAGTTTCTAGAGAGCCTTTGCACGAGTGCCAAAAGTGTGGGAATTGTAGGTCGGTGAGGAGAATAGGGGTGTCCCAATAACTCTCAGCTCCCTGAAGAAACTACAGCTCCCATAATTCTTTGGGGGGAGCTGTGAATGTGAAAGTGGTGTGATACTGCTTTAAATGTATTGTTTCCGAGCACAATTCAAAGTGTTGGTGCTGACCTTTAAAGCCCTAAACGGCCTCGGTCCAATAAAAAGGAGCATCTCCATCCCCATCGTTCTACCCGGACACTGAGGTCCAGCACCGAGGGCCTTCTGGCGGTTCCCTCACTGCGAGAAGCCAAGTTACACGGAACCAGGCAGAGGGCCTTCTTGGTAGTGGCGCCCGCCCTGTGGAACGCCCTCCCGCCAGATGTCAAAGAGAACAACAACTACCAGACTTTTAGAAGACATCTGAAGGCAGCCCTGTTTAGGGAAGCTTTTAATGTTTGATGCATTACTGTATTTTAATATTTTGTTGGAAACCACCCAGAGTGGCTGGGGAAGCCCAGCCAGATTGGTGGAGTATAAATAAATTGTTGTTGTTGTTGTTGTTAATACAGATTTAGCTCTAGTACAACAAGGGATGGCTACGATTAGCCTGGAGAAGAGAAGGTCAAGGGGCTGCTTTCAAATAACTGAAAAGCTGTGATGCTGACGATGGAGCAGACTTATTTTCTGTTGCTCTGGAGGGGCAGAACTAGGACCAGTGGGTGGAAATGGGAAGGAAACAGATTTTGGAGAAATGTCCTAATGGCAAGAACCTTTCCACTGCCTTGGTAGGTGATAGTTTCTCTGTTGCTGCTGTTGTTTAAGCAGGAGCTACACAGCCATTTGCCAAGGATGCTGCAGTTGCAAGATGCCTGTACTGAACAGTTAGACTACATGATCTGCAAGATCCCTGCCAACTCTAACATCCTATGGTCATATCTTGGTGTTGCAGCCACCTAGTGATGAATTTGCATAGCCAGGCAGTGATGTTTGCTGGGGGAAAAGAAAAGAAAAGCCCATATCCTTTATCTTATCTAATTTTGAGCGTACAAGGAATCAGGGCTGGCTGACTTGGTTCTCCTCCCCCATCTTTGTGTTCTGCATTCTTACAGTGCAGGTTGAATTAGTAAAACCTGAAGCAAAGATACACAGTCATAAGACACCGCTTTGATAGCTCCCCCATGCTTGCTTTTCAAAGTGCTTTCTCAACATTAAGCCTCTTAGCACCCCACTGAGAAAGATCTACATTATTATCCAAAGCAAAGAGAGGTTAACTGCCTTTCCCCGGGCACAGAGGAGGCAAGATGTAAACACAAACCAAATTATAACCCTTTCACTAGTTTCTCAGTCCTAAACTATAACCAGGAGAGTCTACCTGTCATTGGGCCAGCTTTCAAAAGAGCTAATTATCTCCAATTAGGGTTGCATTTTCCAATAAGTTCAGTCTCACGTTTGTCCTTGTGTGCAGAAGAGTTCTTCTTCACATCCTGCCTTATAGAAGGGGTAAAATGGCTCCCTTTTTTGCTACTACGGATCTTTGCTTGAAAAGGGAATGGGCAACATTCAACACCGTGCTCCTCTCATCGTTCCATCAGCACAAGCATACCAGCTTATCAGATGGAATGATCCCTCCTCCCCTCTCTCCATGTGCTTTTTCTGGGGGTTCTCCCAACCCTTTAAAAGCCCATTTCATGGGCTGTGGGGGTACACAGGGGAAGGAGAGTGGGGGGAGCCCACTGCGCAAGAGGAAGCCCATATGCTGGCAGGGTTCAGTGGGTGAATCCCGTCCAATATATTTATAGCCGTATCAGACTTGAATGTTGAATGTATTGGATCTGGATGGAAACTTCCCACACTGGTTTAATGTTTTTAGTCCCTTGGTTGGAAGACTTTTTTCTGTTGAGGGCCACATTCTGTCCAAGGTAACCTTGTACAGTCCACCATTCACTCTTTCTTCTTTAAACTCTATGAGATCTTGCAGTGGGCAAGGTTGAAGCCATTGGTAGGTATGGCTGGAGCAAAAAAGAATGTAGTCCCTTCTTTCTCTCTCTCACTCTCCCCCCCCCACCTCATTCTTTCCCTCTTCCTCCCATCAACTTTGTAGGGCCTGTCCCCCTCAAATATTTTATTTTGGGGGCCGAAAGGAGTTGACTCCTATGTCCACGAGTACAGTGAAGAAGCCACAGATTTTCAGATTCCCCTCACAATCTAAATCCCATTCAAAGATGTGGGCCGCAATCCTATACTCATTTATCTCATGGCAAGCCCCATTGAACTTAATGGGACTTCAGTATAGCCTTGAAGTCCCCGTCAGAAATGGGAACTGAGTACATATTTGAAAGGCTTGACATTCTCTGAGAGGAAGCGTGGAGGTGGAACAACTCTTTCTGCCCCTGTTGTCGTCTGTCTATATATAGAGTTGTGCCCATGAAACGACTTGGCAAAGGTCGCCGTGCCATACCTCCATATGAAATGCGATGTTTTCCAACTGATATTCCCGTTTCAAGTCAGGCATGTAAGCATGATGTGTCTGTGCTCTGCAGTGGAGCAGGAAACAAGGTGTCTGTCTCTGCTGCAAAGAAACAAAACTAAAGCCCAAACCCTTGGCATACGCTGATTTAGAAGGTGGGGGGAGGATGGAGGAAGGGGAGAGAGAGGGGCGTTCTTTTGTGGAACAAACCCAGGCTGAAAAACAACAACACTGGCGTCGCCCAAAGTTTGGCTCATGCTAAAAATATAGCACATTTATTAAAAATATATATTTATAAACATCGGTTTGAACAGACACAGATGTCAAGCAACCGAGAGAGAAAAGGAACGTCAGGTAACCTTACTTTGCTCAAGGTTTTACCCTTTGGTAGCTCAGGCAGCTCAGCGGAGTAGCTGGTTCCCCTCCCCCCCACCTTGTGATTGCACCATATGTTCATTTTAAGTTAAAAACTGGAAAAACAAAGAGCGAGAGAAAGAAAAGCTTGCTAGCTTCGATGTAAATCAAAGAAAGGAGAGTAGAGAAGACACGGACTAATGGGCATGGAACGTAACTTGGCACAGATATGCTATATATTTGTCACTGTTTATAATAGTGTCCAGTCTTTGGCTGTATTGAAAAGTTTTATCCATAGTGGGGGGTTTTCCCTTGACCCCCTGTCCAAAGCTGATACTTACAGATTTTCACTCATTTCTCTAGAACAGAGAGAGAGAGAGAGAGAGAGAGAGAGAGAGAGAGAGAGAGATGCGAGTTTTGCTTGTAACTGTGTGAAAAAAGTCTTGTTCAATTAATTGTGCTTCAACCTCCAGCGCCCTCGGGCAGAGCTTTTATGACGTCTTAATATACTACAGAGTCAATTCTCATTAAGCCGTGTGTCAATAGCCGGCCACGTTTGCCATCACCTCTTGTCAGCTGTCTCCCCCGCTTTGCGTCTGCGGCTCACAATGTCGTGTAGATGTACACAAAAATGATCACGACGAGGTTCAGGATTGTCCCGATAATGCCCAGCATTGCCAGGATGGACTCCTCTTTGCTCTCCTTTTCCTGGTTGCCTTTTTCTTCTTCATTTCCACTAGTGATTACCATCTTGGTAGCCAGTTTCTTAATCCTTCTCCTCAGGCTAACCTACAATGTAAAAAAAAGAGAGAGAAGGAGGGAGCAAAGAAGAGAGTCAGAATACAATTGCTCTATTTATGAATTAGTGAATGGGCAGGGTCAGAATTCTGTCAGGGTCAGTTCCTCGTTTTTCCAGTCTTCAGTTCTCCACATTTTCACATCAGCTTGCAATTTTTAAAATTAAAACTAAAAAGGCCTTGTGAAAATGCTTCAGTACCTGAGGGCAATATTTACCATACTTCTGTATGCAGTTTTGCATGATAGGCATGTTTTTGCAAAGCAACGTCCCCAAATCTAATGCGTTTCACCTGTTATTTTCATTAATAAATGCATTTTGTGCATACTTTACACCAGCATATTCATTTTTGTATGTATTTATAGGCTGGGGACCTGCACTGCAAAATTTTGGAGAAAGGTGAATTCTGAAAGATGGCTGTGTTTTGGTTTGCATACTGTCTTGAAAAGTGCAAATTAAGTAACATCACTTTTAAATGAGAACTGAATTGAATTCCCACCCTCCCATCCCTTTGTTTGTGTTCAATATGTATTCTGCAGTTGACGTCCTTTGTAATGTTTTATTTTGAAATCTTTAAGATAATATTTTAGTTTTCTGTTAATTTTCTGTTAATTATGTTGCTTTGACTGTATACTCTATATTTGACTTTCTTCAGAAATGTTTGATTCTGGATTGTTTTACTGATGTTTTAATATGCTGTAAACTGCTTTGAGATTTTTCTTAAAAATATAAAGCGGTATAGAATGAAATAAATAATAGTAATAATCCCTATAATAATGAGCATCTCTTATACTGATAATAGTCAACCAATCATTCTGCAAGCCAGCTAGATGTTATTTTATTTTATTTACAAGATTTCTTTCCCACCCTTTACCGTAAGGCCCACGGTGGGTTACAACAATATAATTTTAGTTAGTTAATTAGACCACAGCATTTATGCACCACTTAATTCTAATAAAATCTCAAAGCATATTTACACAAAGAAAACACTAAAATGATCAGTTAAAAACCAGTATTTAAAAACATTCAGTAATAATAATTAAAACCAACAATAAGTTAAAACCAGATTAAAACATATGTCAAGGTACTACGTGTCTGGATAGGCTTGCTTAAAGAAAATGGTTTTTAGCAGATAACAAAAATAGCACAGGTGACTCTCCACTTACAATGGGGATATGTTCTGGTGATAGTATACAGTGGACCCTCCGGATACGGACTTAATTCATCCCAGGGGTGCATACTTATCCCAAAAAGTCCGTATCCAGAGCTGCTGCTTCTGCGCATGCGTACGGCGCAATAGAGCGCTTCTGCACATCTGTGTGCGGCAATTAGAATTGCTGCATTCATAACTCAAAATTACATTACCCGAAGGTAATGTAACCCGAGGTACCACTGTAAAGCCAAAATCGAGTCTTGGCAACTGACTGTCATGGAGTGACTCATTAGGCCTGATACTCAGCCAAGTCTGTGGAGATCATTTTAATAAAGGGTTAACTCCAACTTTGAACTGTGTGATTGCTAGCTGGCATGCTCTTGTGACATCAGGCAGGTGCCTTCACCATACAGGTAACTCGCAACTTGCACACATTTAGCCTGTGCACATTCAGCTTTACATGCTTCGCAAAACTTTTTGTTAAATATTTAAAAGGGGGCAGGAAATGGATAGGCATTCAGGAAAAACACCATCCCACCTACCACTGAACCCAGGGTGTTTTGACTAGACTCGATTTTGGCTTTACAGTGGTACCTCGGGTTTGTGTGTGATGCTGCAGATGAATAGAAAGCTTTAGCTTGTTTATTTATTAAATATGCATCCCACCTTTCCACATTTGAGCTCAAGGTGGTTCCCCCTCCCTATTTTATCTTCACAGCAGCCCCATTAGGTAAGTGGGGCTGAGAGTGGCTGACTGGCCCAGAGTCACCCAATGGGCTTCTTGGCCAATTTTAGAAACTGAGATATGAAAGCTAGGAGCTAAATGGCACCTTAAATGGGCACAACAATGGAATGTCGAGGGGCACTTTTTAATATAACAAGAATACAAAGCTGAAAATGTATGAACGGCAGCTAAAATATTATGTTCATTTTTTACATGGTCTACTCCTTCACCTGCCCAGCCCCCTAATATTCTTAAGAGGGTCTCTTCTCCAGTCTTCAGAGAGTAGCTGGAAGTGGGGAGGCAGGAAAAGGTCCTCCTTTCCTTGTACTGAAATCTTAGGCGTAATACTGTGCCCAGAGCTCAGAAACTGCTCAAGCTAATAAAATTCCCTGTCGTAAAATGCGCCTAGAACAATGGTAGTCTCAAATGCTGTTCATGGCTAAATGGAGATTCGAACCCTGGTCTCTCAGGTTCTAGTCTAACACTCTTAACGACTACACCTCATTGCCTCTTTTGATTTATTCTTAAACAAATAAATAAACCTTGGCAGGCTTCACTGTGATATGACGAAAACCACCCTGACCCCCTATTAGGCTGCACACCCGGACCATCTCTTGGCTCTGTAACCTGGAGCCAAAAGGGTTTATTTATTAGCCTTTCCCACGTTCTCAGAAGTTCTGATTTCAAGATCTGACACTCTGCAGCAGCACAGGTGAGGGCATAACAGAACAGGCTTGGCCAAATCTCATTTCTGCTAATATAATCAGGGGGAGGAAAACAATCCCAGGAGGTAAACAAGAGTCCCCCGCCTTTTTTCTATATTTTCCCTGCACAGAAAGAAAACTACAATGACTTTCTTATAAATAATGCAGAATAAAACCAGAGATGGAACTGTTTTTCCCTTTGTTTTTGTTTTTCCTTCTCCTGAATATAAAATGAAACATTTGCAGCATGGACAGCTGCTGGCGGTGGGATATGGTGGTGGACAGTCCCACTTTCTGAAGCTGCAAGCTCTTTAGGACAGTGAAAAACACACACACCCCAAAACACACACACGACTGATATTTGGTCTCTGAAAGGCAATCACATTATGCCAAGCTGCATCCACAACTCAGAAGGCTCCATATCCATCATTGAAAGCAAGGCAGGATCTTGACCCTTGATTTTGCCATGGTTTCATCCATAAGGTCCCCAATTCTAATAATAATAATAATAATAATAATAATAAACCTTTATTGTCATTACACCACCTGTGTGCATTGAAATTAAACAAGCCCCCCTCCCCCCATACACTCAGTCTTGTTCATGCTCTGTGTGCTTGTCGGAAGTCAATTACACCACTATTTTTTCCCATTCAGCAGCCCAACAGCCCACGGATAAAAACTGTTCTTTAACCTGTTGGTGCGGCTGACTGTACTTCTGTATCTCCTCCCCGAAGGTAGGAGATGAAAGAAGTGTTGGCCAGGGGGTGAGTCATCCCTAAGAATTTTCCTTGCTCTCCTGAGGCAGCAGTCTCCCGTGATGTCATCTAGCGAACTCTGAGGACAGCCCATGATGTCATATGCTGTATTCGTCACCCTCTGTAGGGACTTCCTGTCCATGGCTGTCAAACCAGCGTACCACACTGTTGCAGTATGAAAGGACACTTTCTATTGTGGCCCAGTAGAAGGAGATAATCAATTTTTGTTTGACATTGTTCTTTCGCAAGACCCTGAGGAAATGGAGTCTCTGTTGGGCCTTCCTAACCACCTGGGTTGTATTGATTTTCCAAGTGAGGTCTTCACTAAGGCAAACTCCCAGGAATTTAAAGGAAGAGACTCTCTCCACACACATATCCCTGATATACAATGGGGCTAGTTCCTCTCTCTTCCTCCGAAAGTCCAACACCATCTCCTTTGTCTTGCTGATATTTAGGTGCAAGTTGTTCTCTAGGCAACATGTGGAGACTTTTTGAACCTCCTCCCTATACGCTGATTCATCTCCACCTGTAATTAGACCCATTATAGTGATATCATCTGCAAACTTAATAACTGCAGTGGATGGATCAGATGAAATGCAGTCATATGTATACAACAAGTACAGGTAGGGACTCAGCATGCATCCCTGTGGGATGCCAGTGATGAGCTTCAGAGAGGTAGTTGTAACAGGCCCAATCCTCACTATTTGTGTGCGATCCCTCAGAAAGTCTTTAATCCAATCACAGATGGTAGGGGAAAGGTCCAGGTCCATCAGCTTTTTAATAAGAATGTCCGGAAGGATGGCATTAAAAGCTGAGCTATAATCAATAAATAGCATTAATTCCCTGGTCTCTCCAGATGACTCGCTGCAAGGTGAAAAGCTGTGGGTATGGCTTCGTCTGTTGACCTATTTCTCCTGTAACCGAACTGGTGTTCATCAAAATCCGGTGGAAAACATGTCCTAAGATGTTGAAGAACCAATCTCTCAGCCCCTACCCAGGCTGGTAATGCCGAGTGGCAGCAAGATTCCAGGGGGTTCCAGAAGCTCACCCAGGGTTTGTGCTCTTTTGGAGAATTGAAGACACAGTGGAGACTGTCGTAGCTTTAAGAAATATGATTTATTCACCCATTTACACCTTCAGTCTGTGTGGAGGGAGTCCAGATCTTACAGCATGGTCATTTCAAGAGGGGCTTGTTCCCCAGAAAAGTGCAGCATGTCTATCGTTATTCTGTAAGTGAGATATGTAGAGGATTCTTAATGAGTGCCTGGCTTTAGGTCCTGCACAGCTGAGACATGCTCAAGCCCTTTTGCTAAATTTTCACACTGTGCATTTGCCATTTGGGCACAGGATTCCTTAGTTTACTGCATAGCAGTATTTGCAGCAAATAATGTGTAGGGAGTACCTGATCTCAAACGAGACCACCACAGGAAAGATACATCCTGGTTGCTATGAAAAATGGAAAAGCAAATAATAGATATTCCAAAGGCTATTAGAAAATAAGAGAGAAGCAGGAAATGTACACTAAAGAGAAGGGGGAAATAGCTCTTTAGGATCCCAGGGATTCTTATCTCCTGATTTCCAAACAACTAACTTGTGTGACAAGGCGTCCCCCCTGCCCTTTAGACCTCCCCATACCAAAGGCATGACAACTATTATTTTGTGTAAAATCAGGCCACATCTTTATGGACTACAGAAGTAGAACCCACGACTTCTGGCTAGCCTGCCAGAAGGACTTACATTGGGTTCAACTAGAAGTGGGGAAGTGCCTGACCTACATCAAGGAGTAACTCCCCCACTGGATTGCACCTGTGGAGTGTTGTGGCCCCACACCCACACCTGGACATCCAGACAGAAGCATCTCCCCTGGATCCCTTTAATGGGCTATCTCATTTTTGGAGGGACCAGGCGGAGACTACAACCTTTCCTCCGTCCAACACTATGTCTGCCCAATGCCTAAACCACCACATGAGCAAATGCTAACTGCCAAACCACCCATATCTGAAGCCAAAACCTTCAACAGGTGGGAGCAACCAGGATGGGCTCATTTTGCAGAAATCACTGAGAAGGGTGATTTTGCTTCATAACTTTCTTTCTAGGATGACTCTCTCTCTAGATGACTTTAAAAAAACACCTCAGAGTTTGGAGCTCAGGTGTGCCAATGAAGGACTTCCTCTGTGCTACAGATGCCACGTTGGTGTCCTTTGTCACATATCACAGGTCCGTTTCCTGATCTTTTTCCCCCAATGTGGCTGGTCAACTTGGCATCAGAGGCTGAGGCACATTTGTTTTGTTTCCTTGTCACTGTTGAGGGAGTCAACCACCAGCTTGCTTTTAGGAAAGTTTCCCAGCTGCAAACTTCGAACAACCTCTGCGCTTCAGAAGAAGGGAGCGGCAGCACGTTCAAAAGAAATGATAAATAACAAAGAACATTCCGTTCTTTTGTCTCATTCATACGGCTCAAGCCTATGCATTCCCCAGAATCTTCTCTTCCCTACTTGGCAATTTGATCACTGCTGGTGCCTCCCTTCTTCAGGAGATAAGGGAGACTCGGCACTCCAACAGCGTAGGAACTTACACACCTCTTTACCCCTTACTTCAGTTTGCCAATCAAAGCAGGTTTCTGTTGTATATCTCTCATCTGCAGAGGGATGAAACTATCCTCCCAAAATTAATGCTCCCTTATCTCTTAATGTGTCATCACAATTAATAGCCTAGGGATAGAAAACATGCTGAAATTTCTGAACAATTTGCCCAGGAGATCTGCGATTGTGTATGAAAGCATACAGAACTGGGGGCTGATAGTCAAGCTAGACTGAACAGAGGTGTGGGACAGATCCTCATTTTTCGGTCTTTTTTCATGCTCCGTTCAAAGAAAGGGAAAGCTGCTCTTGATTTACACCACCGGCAGATGTGGCCTTTGGGAAATGGTAACCAAAGAAGAGGCCTGACTTGTTTTGCAAATCATCAGATAATGCTTGCCAGCATAATGTTGAGCCTGGTCCAACATGGTGTCAAGCAAGTTTCTGCGATGCGATAATTAATTACTTCTGGTGCTGCGGAAGCTGTGAGAGTTGAATCCGTTCAGTTCTCCACGGGATAAGCTTTCCTCGTGCATCTCTCTGGAGCATCTTAATAAATTATTGCTTTTAATCTCAAATCACATCATTCCCACAACTTTTTCAAGTGCAAGCCAAGGTGCCGGCAACATTCAGAGCCTGTCTCAAAAAAGTTGAAGCATTTCCTCTCGGATTATTTTGGGGGAATGCATTTCCAGGGGGTGCCCAAATGTAGCATAGCAGGTGCTGTTGTTGGTCTCACTCATGAGCTACTCTCTGTCTGCAGGGTTGCCAAGTTTTAAACCAGCCACCGTGGCACTGCCTTTAACAGCAACAAGGCTGTGTTCCCATACACGATACTGAAATTAGAAGCACAAGAGAATGCCAGACCCCTTTTCTGGTCATTTGGCAGCCTTATTCCTCTGGTGCTTGTTATCGACTAAGGTAGACTAATGATTTCTCTTGGACCAGCGGGTACAAGTTTGTAAGTTTGCTGGGTTCATTCTGTGGCATGACTCCTGTGCTGTGCAACAAGCAGAGATTCAACTCTTCTCCTGCTCTAGCTCAGTTGGTTAGAGTGTGGTGCTAATAATGCCAAGGTTACAGGTTCGATCCCTGTATGGGACAACTGCATATCCCTGCATTGCAGGGGGTGCTCAGGATCCCTTCCGACTCTGCAATTCTATGATTTCTATGGTTTCCAGTAAGGTTAATTCATAGTATAGTCTAGCTCAGTTGGTAGAGCATGAGATTCATAATCTCAGGGTCGTGGGTTCAAGCCCCACATTGGGCAATAGATTGGATTGGATTAGACCAGGGGTCAGCAAACTTTTTCAGCAGGGGGCCGGTCCACTGTCCCTCAGACCTTCTGGGGGGGCCGGACTATATTCTGAAAAAACATAATGAATGAATTCCTATGCCCCACAAATAATCCAGAGATGCATTTTAAATAAAAGCACACATTCTGCTCATGTAAAAACATGCTGATTCCCAGACCATCCGCGGGCCGGATTTAGAAGGTGATTGGGCTGAATCCGGCCCCTGGGCCTTAGTTTGCCTACCCATGGATTACATGGTCTTCACAGTCCCTTCCAACTTTACAATTCTATGATTCTATGATAGTAAATACTTTCCACTTTTCATGCAGCTATTCAGGGCCTGGGAAGGTTCCTATCAGGGTTGGAAAAAACTGTTGTGCGCTCATGGGTAAATCAAGGTGCTTCTAGATACACTGGTACCTCAGGTTACAGACGCTTCAGGTTACAGACGCTTCAGGTCACAGACTCCGCTAACCCAGAAATAGTACTTTGTGTTAAGAACTTTGCTTCAGGATGTGTACAGAAATCGTGCTCCAGCGGCACGGCAGCAGCGGGAGGCCCCATTAGCTAAAGTGGCTAAAGTGGTGTCTCAGGCTAAGAACAGTTTCAGGTTAAGAACGGACCTCCAGAACGAATTAAGTTCTTAACCCGAGGTACCACTGTAGTTGCTGTTTTCAGGTAGGATTCAATCACATACCAGAAAATTCAGGTTGCACAAATGTAGCTGACCGCAATAGCGGTGGGGTGACAATGGTCCCCTGAGCTCCAGTCGGTTGCACTGCTGCTGCTGCTTACAATGAGGTGGAGGGGGGAGGGAGAAGCAGTGGTGCGCTGTGCATGGTGCAAAAGCACCAGCAGGATCTCCACATTGGTCCTTCCGTGTCTATATATATGAAACAGAATGGGGTTGGCTATGTGAGTCTTCCCACATAATGGGCACCAGCTCTTTTCATGCGACACCAATTCTCCATTAACAGATCCATCCAATAGGCTCTTGCACATTCTCCCAGCCATGCAGAAGCTTCTCAGGGAGGCCTTAACTGTGCATTTGAATGGAGTACAATATTGGAAAAATGGATTACCAATGGGCAACTGAGCAATCAGTTCAGTAATGTGCTAGTTGTGCAACTACTTGACTCTATCTTGCATTAATATGTTTTTGACCTTCTTTCTTTCCAGTATTTCTTACCCACCCTTCACCCTAAAATCTCAGGACAAATTGCATAAACTAAAATACCAGGCTTGTCCATACAGTTGTTTAATGTGGATAGGAGGCTTTCTGTACCTCTATTAATTCATCATTGTTTGTATGCCATTCTCCTCTAAATCACTGCCTTCCCACACTTTCCCCTCCTCTGTTCTGGACTTTCTTAAATCCCAATCCCTTTTGGAGTATCCCTTGTATGAGAAAATCTGTATTGAGGGAAGGGAAGTATGAGAAGGCAGTGATTTAGAGGAGAAGGTCCTATGGAAAATGGAGAATTAATGAAGGTACAGGGAACTTACTAACCTCATTAACCAACAGTATAGATGAGCCCACAATCACAAAACAATGAATAATCAACATATCATAAAACAAGAACAAGAATAAAACAAATACAGCTAGTAATGCCATTTACAAGTAAGGCAACCAAAAATTAATACCATCCGATGCAGAGATTGCTCTGTTTATCATCTCACACCTAGCCCTAGCTATTATTGTGAATCTTCCAGTGCTAACAGTTATATTTTTTGCAATATACTGCTCAAAACTGGCCTGGTGTAATGAGGAAGTGCTCTGAAATAGGTAGCGAGCATAGAGATGGTTCTTCATTAATAACTAAATAAAGCACAAAGTAAAGCCAATGTGATCATTGACCTTATTTATTTATATCAGTTATATCCCAGATTTCTTCTAAGGAGCTCCAGGTGGCACTCATGGTTCCCCCTTTCCCCCTCTTATCCTCACAACAACCCTGTGAGGTAGGTTAGGGTGAGAGGGAGCGATTGGTCCAAGGTCACCCAGGAAGCACTATGGCTAAGTAGGGATTTGAACCCCCTGGACTCTCAAATCCTAGTCCAACACCCTAACCACTACACTGTGCTGGCTCTAGATTACTCTAGACACTAGACTAATGGTCATTATGGCACGTGTATATTGTTTCCCCTTAGTCTTCCAAGTTCATGGGTTGGATCCAAATGAAATGTGGCATGTTAGATATTGCAGAAGGCGTTCCACTCACGGAAGGGTGGTTTCCCACCTTGTGCTGGAGCAATGTGCAAAGCAGTGGCACAAGATCCAGTGATGCTCTCCACTTGGGCATGTTGTCTTGCATGAACAAAAGCATGAGAACAGACTTAGAAGCTGCCCATTATAGCACCCAGAGAACTCTGCAAGTTTTCGCAGAGCAGCCCCAGTGGCTGATTTCCTTCCACACGTTGGATCCGTGGTTCTTCCCATCTAGCCCTTACAAAATACCTCCCTCCGCTCTCTAGTAATAGTTTAGTGAATAAGAACAGCCTAGATCAGGGGTCGGCAACCCGCGGCTCCGGAGCCGCATGCGGCTCTTTTACACCTTTGCCGCGGCTCCGCAGATCCTCAGGGACCCTGAGCAGAAAAGTAGAAGCGCCAGAAAGAGGAGGGGGATGGAGCTGGGCAGCCGAGCCGGGCAAAGCAAGGCGGCGGCGGCAGCGGAGCTCGAGAGGCGGCGGCGGCCGGAGAAGGGCTGCTGCTGCTGCTTCTGCCGCCGGAGGGAAGTTCTGCCAGGCGGCTTCATGGCTCATAGCTTCCTCCGGGGTAGGACGGGCGGCGGCGGTGGCGAGGGGGAACGCTCTCCCAGGCCACGCTCTCCTCAGCCCCACGCGCGAGGCACCTGAGGCGAGGGAGAGAGAGCGCACGCGCTCTCGAGGGAAATGGCAGGGCGGGGTTTTTGTGTGTGTGTGTGTGTGTGTGTGTGTGTGAGGGGTGGCGGTGGTGCTTCGGGATCCTTTTCCATGCCTTGCTTCTGAGTGGCCGCCGAGTTGAGGGAGAGCACCTGAGGTGAACCACAAAATGGGCCCGCCCTCCCTGTCAGGGAGGAAGGGGTGAATTACGTCAGTGACGAGGAGGGGGTCCAGAGGTAGCCAGCAGGTGCTGTGATGCAGCATCTCGGCCTCAGAGAGAGGCAGGGGAGCACGAGAGCAATTGCAGAGGGAGGGGGGCTGTTAGGCACCAAAATCCTGCATGCGGGATTTCCCCCGTTCTCTTGTGCCTATGCAATTCCTGCCCTTCTCCCTTCCCCCCCGAGATTTGCTGCAGAGACAAGCAAATGAAGAAGAAAGGGAAGAGTATTAGCTGACATGTCCCCGGATCCCATGGAAAGCACCACAGATTCCTTTGCTTACCAGCTCTTTTTATTTTAAGTTGGCTTCAAACCTGTAATTGTGTAGGTGTATGTATGTATACATATACACACATAAATATTCGTATCTCTTCCCTCTCACCTTCCTTTCACCCAGTTTCTCTGGCACTGGTTTATAAATGCTGCTATGTAGAAATGATGAGAAAGTTGCACCAGCAGAAGGAATGGATATGTGCTGTTAGTAAAAAGAGAGGGAGTTGAACTGCAGGGAGGGACAGACACTTTTCTATGTATTAATTTGTATAATGCCCTCTATGCACATGGTGCTTTGCAAAAAATGGATATGAGAGGTACCATACCCCTCTTTGCTATCTGAAATAGACTCAGGGAAAAGAGAGAGAATGGGGGAAGGGGAAGAATGTGTGGTTATTTACATTTGGCTTGTTTTGCGGCTCCCAGTTGTTTTTTTCTTTGGAAACGGGTCCAAGTGGCTCTTTTTGTCTTAAAGGTTGCAGACCCCTGGCCTAGATCAGCCTTCCTCAACCTCTCATCATCCTTATGATCATTACTTATATGCCGCTTAATATGCAAAGTCCATAATGAGTTTATATAAAATCCAGTAAAAGAAAAAAGGTATTTACATTTAAAACCAAAAATACAAAGAAATGCCTGAATAAAAAAAAGAAGTTATCAATAAAGCATTCAGGAGTCATTTTGGACTCACAGCTGTCCATGGAGGCGCAGGTCAATTCTGTATCCAGGGCAGCTGTCTACCAACTCCACCTGGTATGCAGGCTGAGACCCTACCTGCCCGCAGACTGTCTCGCCAGAGTGGTGCATGCTCTAGTTATCTCCCGCTTGGACTACTGCAATGCGCTCTACGTGGGGCTACCTTTGAAGGTGACCCGGAAACTACAATTAATCCAGAATGCGGCAGCTAGACTGGTGACTGGGGGCGGCCGCCGAGACCACTTAACACCGGTCTTGAAAGACCTACATTGGCTCCCAGTACGTTTCCGAGCACAATTCAAAGTGCTGGTGTTGACCTTTAAAGCCCTAAACGGCCCCGGCCCAGTATACCTGAAGGAGCGTCTCCACCCCCATCGTTCTGCCCGGACGCTAAGGTCCAGCGCCGAGGGCCTTCTGGCGGTTCCCTCATTGCGAGAAGCAAAGCTACAGGGAACCAGGCAGAGGGCCTTCTCGGTAGTGGCGCCTGCCCTGTGGAATGCCCTCCCATCAGATGTCAAAGTGATAAATAACTACCTGACATTTAGAGGACATCTTAAGGCAGCCCTGTTCAGGGAAGTTTTTAATCTGTGATATTTTACTGTATTTTTTGTTTCTATGGAAGCCGCCCAGAGTGGCTGGGGAAACCCAGCCAGATGGGCGGGGTACAAATAATAATAAATTATTATTATTATTATTATTATTATTATTATTATTAAATATCAATAAAACATAACCGTGCAATGAAATGCCTGTTTAAATTGGCAGGTCTTTAGGAGTGTTTAAAGTCTGCCACAGTTGTTGTTGTTGTTGTTAATTGAATTTATATACTGCTCTATAGGTAAAGGTAAAGGTAAAGGACTCCTGGATGGTTAAGTCCAGTCAAATTTGACTATGGGGTTAGGGTTAGGCCGAGGGAGCCGGTGTTTGTCCGCAGACAGCTTTCCGGGTCATGTGGCCAGCATGACTAAACCTCTTCTGGTGCAATGGAACACTGTGACGGAAGCCAGAGCACATGGAAATGCTGCTTACCTTCCCGCCAGAACGGTACCTATTTATCTACTTGCACTGCCGTGCTTTTGAACTGCTAGGTTGGCAGGAGCAGGGACAGAACAACAGGAACTCACGGGGATTTGTCATGGGGATTTGAACCTCCAACCTTCTGATCAGCAAGCCCAAGAGGCTGAGTGGCTTAGACCACAGCACCACCCACATCCCAGGGCAGTTCACAGAACTCAGGGCGGTTCACAGTTCCTGCCTCATGAACTGCATATGGAACTGTGTTCCAGAGAGTGGGTGGAACTCTGACCATTGGTCATGTTGATTGCGATGGATGAGAATACCACAAAACCTGGAATGTCATTGTTTCCCCATCTCTGGTTTAAAAGATAAACCCATCAAAAGTGCCAGGTGATGCTATGGGTAAATGCGTCTGGCCATTAACCAGAAGATGGTGGTTTGAGACCACCAAGGGGCAGGATTCCTGCATTACAGGGGGTTGGACTAGATGACTCTTGGGGGCCCTTCCAACTATACGATTTTATGACTAGGGCTTTCAGATAAGAGACGAGCCAATGGTTTGGGATGACAGGAGTTGCAGTTTAAAACATCTGGAGAGGACCAGGTTGTGGAAGAGGGGCTGTCCAAATCCACTAAACAGCAAAAGAGCCATTTGGGTGGAAAGGAAGGATGTAATTAACAACAACAACTGTAATAGGGTCAATTGAAATCTGGCTGCAAAATGTTGCTTTAGAGGAATGTAAGGCAGTCAAATGGGCCAAGGGAGAGACATTCTGTGGCAGCATAAAGGTTGCAAAGCCTTCGTCATATCCTTCAGCACACAGCTGGGAGGGAATTGCTGTGGCCAAGAAGTATGATGAGAATAGAAGCTACTTGAGTACATGCGGGAGAGTTGGCTGCAAATTAAAGAATTTCCCCCCGAGTCAGAAAGGTTCTTGGATCTCATAATGGTGAACATCTCCATGCCAGGAAATAAACCTTTTTTGGTCTCCTGAAGTTCAGCAGCACCTCTAACCCACATAGGGAAAAAAGTAAAGGACTCCTGGATGGTTAAGTCTAGTCAAAGGCGACTATGGCGTTGTGGCACTCATCTCACTTCAGGCCGAGGGAGCCGGCGTTTGTCCACAGACAGCTTTCCAGGTCATGTGGCCAATATGACTAAACCACTTCTGGCACAATGGAACACTCTGACGGAAACAAGAGCACAGAGAAACGCCATTTACCTTCCCACCGCAGCAGTACCTATTTATCTACTTGCACTGGTGTGCTTTCAAACTGCAAGGCCAATCCCTCCTCCCAGTGAACTCTGGAAAATGTTGCTCCATGTGGGGAGTAGGGTGTCACCTAACAACTCTCAGCACCCTTAACAAAGGACAGTTCTCGGGCTTCTTTGGGGGAAGCCATGACTGTTTAAAGCATAGCCTCCAACATTTCTCTGATGAAAATATGCAATGCTTTTTTTTTGTGTGGAGGGATGCAGGGGTACACATACCCCTAAACATTTTGTGAATCTTTGTCCATTTGTCCATTTACTGTATTTATTTTTCCCCATTTTGAACTATAAAATGGTGATTTTCTCGAGTCAAAATGAGAAAAAAGCACTGAAAATAGGGATATTAATAATAACAAAATTAATAATAATAATAATACCTTGCTGGGTATTATATTGGGTTGCCCCAGCCACTCTGGGGGGCTTCCAACACATATAAAAACATAATAAAACATTAAGCATTTTTAAAAAACCTTTCCTATACAGGGCTGCCTTCAGGTGTCTTCAAAAGGTTGTATACACTGGCACCTCAGTTGTTAAACGCTTCAGAAGCTGAACAATTCGGAACCTGAACGCTGACAACCTGGAAGTGAATGCTTCCATTTTTGAACGCACCTCGGAAGTCGAACAGCTTCTGAGATGTGTTTCTCTATTTTTAAAATGAATTTGCCGACTGGCAATTGCGCCCCGGTTGTCTAATGTTTTGGAAGTCAAATGGTCTTCCAGAACAGATTACGTTCGACAACTGAGGTTCCGCTGTAGTTACTTATCTCCTTGACTCTGGGGCCGCGTGACTCCATACCATACCCTCAACATTTCTCCAATGAAAATAGGGACATCCTAAGGAAAAGTGGGACATTCCGGGATCAAATCAGAAACTGGGACAGCTTTTGTAAATTTGGGACTGTCCCTGAAAAAATAGGGACACTTGGAGGGTCTGTCAAAGTGGTATGATAGTGCTTTCAGTGTATGGTGTGCTTATGGCCTGTGTGCTGCTTCCTAGTAAAAGAGTTGTGAAATAATTTACAACCAAGGGGGGGGGGGAGAATGCAATAAGAAAATCACATAGACCCATTACAGGCCTGGGAAAACAAAAACACCTGTGCCTGGTATCAAAGCAATGAGAAGCGGCAGCATTCCATAAATGGGGGCTACCACAAATAAGTCAATGCATGCTATAAGTTGCAGGAGACTCCCATTCGTGGAATGCTGAGAGCTTGTGACACACTGCCCATCACCACAATTTTTGCAAGTCTAAGACAAGGAACAAAAGCGATCAACGCCATAATGGTCAAAAGCTGCGGAGCTTGATCCAGAGTCAGATTTAGAATTTATTTCTCTTTTCTGCAGATACTGAATTTGGATCCTGCCAGCAAGGCCCAACGCTCATGGCAGCTAACGATAAAATAAAATTAACATGCAGCAATTATGCACTCTAAAGATAATGCCCTCCAAGCCAAAGCTCATCTGAACTCTGTGATGCTGTTCAATGCACATCTTGACATCCGACTACAGTATGCAAAATCCACACCACTGCGGAGTGGTGAACCTTTGAGTTTTTGATCACAATGAGCATTTAATGCATTTCCTGATTTTCAACAGGCCCCTGCAGCAGCTGCATCTGAAGGCTTCAGCAGGCGGCCTTGTTTATCTCCATGCTCTAGAAACCTCTGCCTGGTGATTTCTGCAGATCAAGCTTCCGTTAAAAGATATGGGAACAGGCCAGGCTCCCTGCTCAATTATTTCATGCAGTTCTTTAATAAATGTGTACCCTGCCTTTCAGGGTAGAAAACCCTCCCAAGGAGGCTAAGAAAGGTTCAGGGAAACAGAGACGCAACATTAAGAGCACTGCAATCAAAATTAAAAACCAAACCACTTCTTTGTCTATTAGTAAATGTGTATCCTGCCTTTTCCCACAAAGAAGCCCCGAGAAACCTGTACAAAACTCAGGCAACCACATCACTGTTCTGCTCCATCTTGCAGAATGCTAGAACATCAGTAATCCAAGGAAATTGTCAGTAGATTCAGGATAGACAAAAGAAAGCGCTTTTTCATGCAACACAGTACAGTGGGCCCACCACATAACGTGTAAATTGTGTCCTCCCTAAAAGAGGGCACGTCTTGGGGTAAGACCTGGAGACTGACCTCCTGGTTGTGGGTGGGTCTGTTGGATAGCCACAACACCCGATTGGTCCCTCATTGCTGGGTTTAATCTGGCCAATGGGGTGCAGTCTAAACGGATTGAGGGACCTATATAAACCCATGCACATGACCCAGAGCTTCCTCTTTCGGCTTGTGCATCAGAACACCCGCCCACCTCTCCCTACTTTTAGGGCATTTTGTGATTGACCTTGCTATGCCGTCATGTGTCGTCTGTCGTTGGGACAGGGGCATGGCAGGAATTTCCCCCACTTGGCTGATTGGCTATAGCCATTTAGGTTTCGCCTGCTGAGTAGCAATTTGTCACAACTTGTAAGGTTGCGGATAGGCACTGGTTCAGGTGACAGGAATGGGAGAACGCTCTCGCCATCCCTATGTGAAGAGTATTCTGTTAAAGGAATCCAGGGACTCAACTTGGTTTGGTCAACCCCCGAAAAGGGGTTGTCCCCATGCCTGAGTCCAGGGGAGCATCTGAGGAGTGAACAGAGTCTGCTCCCAGGCTTTTCACCTTCCTCAGGTGTTCACCCTTGGCTGACCTACGATAGGTCAGTGCTACCTGCAAGGGTGCAGAGAGCTAGTCAAACCACAGTCTATGCAACCACTCACTTTTCTGTAATCAGTAAAGCTGTGGCCTAAATTCTGCCAAAAACCAAAACTAAAATTAGAGTCAAATGTGTATTTAGCGAGGAGGTCTCTGGGTCTGAACACGCAACTTGCATACGTCAATGCAACCTTAGGGACATGGCCAAAAAGTAAGCAAATAAATAAATAAATGGAGAGTATGGGAAAGCTGTTGCACCTTCCAGGGTCCTTGTGTGACCTTCTCAATGTGGATTTGCATGAGAGGGTGTTGGATAGCCACACCCACTTTTGGGCAGAGGGTTGACCAGGGCTGAATGCAGCTTTCAGGCTAGAGAAGTTTAGCTTACCTGTAGGGTGAGGATTAGACAGTTTATGTAAACATATGTTCAGATATGGACTCTCCCTCCTTTCCTTTACCTGCCTTGTGCCCCACAGCTAACTAAATGATAGACCTTTCACAAGGGTTGGGGTTGGATGATCACATATGTGTTCTGTTGTTCCTCAGGTCAGCACCCGTGGGGTGAAATGCCCTGCTGCTGTTCCACTTGCAACAAAGGTGCCTGCTAAGGTAAGGGGAGGTGATATTCTGTCACTGAGAGCCAGTGTGGTGTAGTGGTTAAGAATGGTAGACTCATAATCTGGTGAACCAGGTTTGCTTCCCCGCTCCTCCACATTCAGCTGCTGGGTGACCTTGGGCAGGTCACACTTCTCTGAAGTATCTCAGCCTCACTCACCTCACAGAGTGTTTATTGTGGAGGAGAAAGGGAAAGGAGATTGTTAGCCACTTTGAGACTCCTTAGGGTAAAGATAAAGCGGGATATCAAATCCAAACTCCTCCTCCTCCTCTTCCTCCTCCTCCTCCTCCTCCTCCTCTTCTTCTTCTTCATGTCCTCTTCCCATCCTATGTCCCTGCACCGATGGAGAGACCCTCCAAAACAGCACAAAGAGTGGCATGGGAGGTGCTGCATGGGGGAAGGGATGCCTCCACTGGATCAAAATCAGCTATGGGACCAAAATGGCGGCATTGGATCTCACCTACTGGAACTTCTCTTCAGAACAACCCTGTAACGTCACAAGACTCTGGTGTATAGTCAAACATGAGTGTGTTTCAGAGTCACCCTGGGTGCTTCCAGACTGGCACTTAATATTGCAGAGGTGTCAGTCATATAATGCAAATGAGTAATCAGCAACAGTTTCCCCCCCACCCTATATATATATTTTTTAAAAATCTTATGGAATTTTCTGCATGAAGAGTACATCTGGATTAAATGGGGATACAAGCTGCCATTTTTATACCAAGGGTGTCATGTGGACACTGCCCAAAAAACAAAAGTTGTTGGTCATCTGGAACACTCACCTGGAAGCACCCTATAACTCTCCTATGCAGGGCTGAATTCTCTGCTGCTGTGGAGAATAGTCTCCTCTCTGCAATGGTGGCCAGACTATATAAAGAACATATTTGAATGTCTCTTGCAATGCAGCATATACATTGCAATGCCTCAAGGTCATGGTAGGTTGCACCACTGTACATGATGCATCCTGACATGCTCTAATGTATCATCAGTAATTGAAAAACAGTGACTATGTAAAAAAAGAAGATAAAAACAAGAATTTGCCCCCAAAGCAAATTATATCTTGCCCCTATCTTGCAGTGGCGGTATCCAGGCACCATTATAGTGGAGGTGGATCTGAGCTTATTATTATCAATATTTATTAAATTTATATAGCGGCCTTCATCAGAAGATCACTGGGTGGTTTGCAGTATAACAGCACAAAAATACATAACATAATAACAAACAAGCAAACAATATCTCCCAACACCCATGAATAAAATACGTAGCAACAGTTCTCTCTCTTGCTCTCTTTTCATGTTTCCCAGCTACTGGTTTTCAGAAGCTTGCTGCCTGATGCTAGAGACAGTAGTATACAGTGGTATCTCCGGTTACATACGCTTCAGGTTACATAAGCTTCAGGTTACAGACTCCACTAACCCAGAAATAGTACCTCGGGTTAAGAACTTTGCTTCAGGATGAGATCAGAAATCGTGCAGCGGCGCAGCAGCAGCAGCAGGAGGCCCCATTAACTAAAGTGGTGCTTCAGGTTAAGAACAGTTTCAGGTTAAGAACAGACCTCCAGAACAAATTAAGTTCTTATCCCTAGGTACCACTGTACAACCAACTCAGCTAGTAGACACTGATAATCTCATCTTTATCTGGTATTCAGGGAGGGGCATCTGCCTCCATCAGCAAACACAAAACCCAGCTATCCTCCTGGCCAGTAGCCACTGATAGATTTATGGGCCATGAATTTATCCAATTCTCTTTTAAAGCCACCCAAGCAGGTGGCCATCACTGCCTCTTGGGAGAGTGAATTTCACACACAGCACAAAGAAAAGTCCTTCCTCTTGTCTATTTGGAATCTTCCACCAATCAGCTTCAATGGATTACCACTGGGTTATAGAGTTACAAGAGACGGAGAGAATGTTTCGCTATCTACTTTCTCTTGACCATCCTGCATACATGTTTGTCACCCTTTCTTGCCTCCGTATTTCTTACCAAGTTCAAAAAAGGCCCAAGCATTCCTCAAAGGGGAGCTGCTCCAGCCCCTCAATCATTTGGGTTGGCCTGTTCTTTCTGCTTCACACCTGAAAGCCATCGTCTGGTGTCTCCATCAACTGGTATTGCCAGCAGGGCTGTCTTTAGCAGATGTGGTGCCGGGGTGCAAATATCCGCCCAGCGCCCCCAAAGTACCACGGATAGTGTTGGGTGGACATAGCTGCGCACTGCCAGCCATCCGGGGGGGCACAACTCTCCCCCATGCCACTGAGGGAGAGCAATCCCGGGGCTTGGGAGTGAAGTTGCGCCCCTCCCAAGCCTCCTCGGGAGGAGAGCAATCCCCGCAGAGGCTTGGGAGGGAAGCTGCATGCCCGCTAGCCTTATGGTTGGTGGGGCGCAGCTGGCGGGCGTGCAGGGAAAGGGGAGGCCGCCGGCAAAGCCGCACAGCTCCCCCACTTGCTGGGGCACCCCTGAGAGGCCAGCACCCTGGCGCGACACGCCACTAAGCCCTATGGGGAAAACGGCTCTGATTGCCAGAGCACTCCAAGTTAAAGATTCCCTAGCATATAGCAGACAGATGCCAACAACCACAAGGGGTTGGGAACCTTCTTAAGCCTGGGGGCTGCAATGCCTTCTAGGAAACCTTCCAAGGGCCGCATGCCACCAGTGAGTAGAGCCAGGTGCAAAAAGTGGATGGAGGACAGTACAGTAGGCTAGTTTCTATGCACACTGCTTCCTATCCTTACCCAAGGAAGCAAGAGGCATTATCAGAGTTCTAGGAAATATCCCAGTCAGGCAAAGACACCTGGGGTGTAGCCTGGGGAAAGTTCTGAGGGCCAGCTAGAGAAGTTTGGTGGCCGTATTTGCCCCCTGGGCTTGAGGTTCCCCACTCCTGATTTATGAACTGGCTTACTAGCAGTACATGTGAAAAGGGACTAGGGGTCTTGGCGGACCACAAGCTTGGTTGACATGTGATGCAGCGGGGGGGGGGGGAGAAAAGCTAATGCTATTCTAGGCTGCATCAACAGATGTATAGTGTCCAGATCAAGGGAAGTTCTTTTCTGCCTTGATCAGACCACACCTGGAATACTGTGTCCAACTCCGGGCACCACATTTTAGGAAGGATGTTGACAAGCTGGAACATGTGCAGAGGAGGGCAACCAAGATGATCAAGTGTCAGGGGTGCCGTCAACAGCTCACTGGCTATCTGCCTAGTGAAATCAGAGAGAGAGCTTTTCAGCTACTTTATTTTAATCCACAGAAACACAGGAAGACATGGAATGTACATCCTCACACTTGAACCAACGTTGCTTAGAGTGCCCCCCTGGCAGTTACTGCCTAGCATTCAGACCCCTCCTTCTGCCTATGGTGGCTGCTAAGGGAATTTCTCTGTTTGGCTTTTTGCTCTGAAACACGAACGGCATGTCTGATGCTAGGGGAAGCAGGTGGCTCTGGCAAACTCTCCAGAGACAGCATGTCACTTGGCCACAGTACTGTTTCTAACACATCTGACTCCTGTCTCTGTTCACTGTTATCTTGCTCCTTTCATCTTATGGGGTGTGACCCATCTCAAACCACCACAATCCTACGTCCATCCTCTTCCTCCTCTCTGGAAGGATCTTGGAGGGAGGTGGTCTGCCCAGTCCTTAACATCAAGGGTCTGGAAACCAGGCCTTATGAGGAACAGTTGAAGTGGCTGGAAAAGAGGAGACCAAGGGGAGATATGATATCTCAAGGGCTGTCACATGGAAGAGGGAACAAGCTTGTTTTCTCCTGCTCTGGAGGGTAGGACTCAAACCAATGACTTCAACTTACAAGAAAGGTGATTCTGACTAAACATCAGGAAAAGCTTTCTGGCAGCAAGAGCTGTTTGACAGTGGAACAGACTCCCACGAGAGGTGGTGGACTCTCCTTCCTTGGAGAGGAGGTTGAATGGCCGTCCATCATGGATGCTTTAGCTGATTTTCCTGCATTGCAGGGGGTTGGTCTGGATTACTCTTGGGGTCCCTTCCAACTGTACGATTCTATGATTCTATATACTGCTCATCAACCAAGCAAAGTGAAAAAGCTTTACCCACTTCAGTGGCACTCTAGGCTATGAAGTAAGCACGTGACCACACCGCAGTGGCTGAGATGTTATTTTTCATTGAAGGCAGTGTCGGCCGGTGGAGAGAGAAGAAACAAATCTATAGTGATGTGGATTGAAATGATGGCCGTGAGTGTGTACAAAACAAAAGTACATTGAAGGAATTGTTCAACAAGAGCTTATCCTGCTGAAAAGATTACTCACAGAAGGTTGCCAAGGTCTGTGTCATCTTAGATTATCTGCAATTCAATGCCAGCTACACAAGTTAGAACCACCCAGGGGCTCTCTACTCTTAGGCAGAAGGTCACTAAACACTAACAGTTGATCTATGGCTCCTGAGACATGAAGAAGGAGTCATAACCAAAATATAACAATGCATAGTGTTTCTTTCCTGGCCTCTTTTCATGATCCTTCAAATGGAGGGTTGTGCTGCTGTCTTCCCTATGAGCACCATGATCAGTAGTTCTATGGCTGTCAGAGGGCAAAAATTGTATAAGGCTGTTCTCCAAGTAACCTGGGTAGTGGTGGGCAAGGCTGCATTCCTTTATGGGCATGCTTTCAGAGGCCACAAGCCACACTGTGAGTGGCAAAAGTGGGTGGAACCAGAGCAACAGGTGTGGCAGAAGAACATAGGAAGAGCCTGCTGGATTGGGCCAATGGCCCATCTAGTCCAGCATCCTGTTCTCACAGTGGCCAACCAGATGCCTGTGGCAAGCCTGCAAGCAGGATCTGAGCACAGGAGCACATTTCCCACTTGTGGTTTCCAGCAACTGATATTCAGATGCATTACTGCATGGAGCAAACAGCACGCAGACCTAGTGGTGGGAGGAAAAAATCCTTAAATAAGAGACACGGGGGAATGATTAATGGACTTCAATGTCTGTACACTAATGCGCAAAGCATGGGAAATAAACAAGATGAGCTTGAGCTCTTGGTACAGCAAACTAAATATGACATAATAGGCATCACTGAAACCTGGTGGGATAAGTCCCACGATTGGAATGTAATAATGGGGGATACAATCTATTTCAGAGAAACAGACCAGACAAGAAAGGAGGAGGAGTGGCGTTATATGTCAGGGATGTGTATACCTGTGAAGAGATCCAAGATTTAGAACCTCAAAGCCAAAGTGAGAGCATTTGGGTCAAAATTAAGGGAGAGAAGAATAACAGTGACCTCATTGTGGGAGTTTACTATAGATCCCCAAGCCAAACGGAGGACATAGATGATGCCTTCCTGGAACAGATGGCCAAGCATGCAAAAGGAAGGGAGATAGTAGTAATGGGGGACTTCAATTACCCGGATATTTGTTGGATGTCAAACTCAGCCAAGAGCATAAGGTCAAACAGATTCCTCACTGGCCTTGCAGACAACTTCATTGTCCAGAAAGTGGGAGAAGCAACAAGAGGAACAGCCATTTTAGATCTGGTCCTAACCAATGTTGATGACCTGGTTAGTGGGGTAGAAGTGGAAGGATCATTAGGCGCGAGTGATCATGCTCTTCTGAAGTTTACTATACAGCAGAAAGGAGCAGCCAAGCATACTAGGACTCAATTTCTTGACTTTAAGAAAGCCGACTTCATAAAACTTAGGGAAGTGCTGGGTGAGATCCCATGGACAGTAATACTAAAAGGAAAGGGAGTTCATGATGGCTGGGAGTTTGTTAAGAGGGAGATACTAAAAGCACAACCGTCAGGCAATACCAATGAGACAGAAACATGGAAGGTGCCTAAAGAAGCCAGGGTGGCTATCTAAAGAACTTTTAACTGAGTTAAGATTAAAAAGGATGTGTACAAAAATGGAAAAGGGGGAAACCACCAAAGAGGAATTCAAACAAATAGCCAGCACGTGTAGACACAAAGTCAGAAAAGCTAAAGCACAGAATGAACTCAGGCTTGCTAGAGAGGTTAAAAGCAACAAAAAGGCTTTTATGGGTATGTTCGTAGCAAAAGGAAGAACAAAGAAACAGTGGGGTCACTCAGAGGAGAAGATGGTGAAATGCAAACAGGGGACACAGAAAGGGCTGAACTCCTCAATGCCTTCTTTGCCTCAGTCTTCTCCGATAAAGAAAACAATGCCCAACCTGAAGAATTTGGAGCAAATGATTCAGCAAAGGAAACACAGCCCAGAATAACTAAGGAGATAGTACAAGAATACTTGGCTAGTTTAGATGTATTCAAGTCTCCAGGGCCAGATGAACTGCATCCAAGAGTATTAAAAGAACTGGCAGATGTGATCTCAGAACCACTGGCAGTCATCTTTGAGAATTCCTGGAGAACAGGCGAAGTCCCGGCAGACTGGAGGAGGGCAAATGCTGTCCCTATTTTCAAAAAGGGGAAAAGAGAGGACCCAAATAATTACTGCCCAGTCAGTCTGACATCAATACCAGGGAAGATTCTGGAGCAGATCATTAAGCAAACAGTCTGTGAGCACCTAGAAAGGAATGCTGTGATCACCAATAGTCAGCATGGATTTCTGAAAAATAAGTCATGTCAGACTAACCTGATCTCGTTTTTTGACAGAATTACAAGCCTGGTAGATGAAGGGAACACAGTGGATGTAGCCTACCTTGATTTCAGCAAGGCATTTGACAAGGTGCCCCATGATATTCTTGTAAAGAAGCTGGTAAAATGCGGTCTTGACTATGCTACCACTCAGTGGATTTGTAACTGGCTGACTGACCGAACCCAAAGGGTGCTCATCAATGGTTCCTCTTCATCCTGGAGAAGAGTGACTAGTGGGGTGCCACAGGGTTCTGTCTTGGGCCCGGTCTTATTCAACATCTTTATCAACGACTTGGATGATGGACTCAAGGGCATCCTGATCAAATTTGCAGATGACACCAAACTGGGAGGGGTGGCTAACACCCCAGAGGACAGGATCACACTTCAAAACGACCTTGACAGATTAGAGAACTGGGCCAAAACAAACAAGATGAATTTTAACAGGGAGAAATGTAAAGTATTGCACTTGGGCAAAAAAATGAGAGGCACAAATACAAGATGGGGACACCTGGCTTGAGAGCAGTACATGTGAAAAGGATCTAGGAGTCTTGGTTGACCACAAACTTGACATGAGCCAACAGTGTGACGCGGCAGCTAAAAAGCCAATGCAATTCTGGGCTGCATCAATAGGAGTATAGTATCTAGATCAAGGGAAGTAATAGTGCCACTGTATTCTGCTCTGGTCAGACCTCACCTGGAGTACTGTGTCCAGTTCTGGGCACCACAGTTCAAGAAGGACACTGACAAACTGGAACGTGTCCAGAGGAGGGCAACCAAAATGGTCAAAGGCCTGGAAACGATGCCTTATGAGGAACGGCTAAGGGAGCTGGGCATGTTTAGCCTGGAGAAGAGGAGGTTAAGGGGTGATATGATAGCCATGTTCAAATATATAAAAGGATGTCACATAGAGGAGGGAGAAAGGTTGTTTTCTGCTGCTCCAGAGAAGCGGACACGTTCAAACAGTACAAATTGAGAGCATTTGCAGACGACTTAGTACTGACGTTACAGGAGCCAGAATCTAGTACCAAAAGGGTTTTAGAATTGATTCAAGAATTTGGTCAAGTTGCAGGATTTAAATTGAATAAGGTAAAAACTAAGGTTTTAGAGAAAAATCTAACACCAATAGAGAGAGAGAGGTTTCAGAATGAGACAGGTTTAACAGTGGTTAAGAAAGTTAAATATTTGGGGATTAACTTGACAGCAAAAATGGGAACTTATTCAAAGATAACTATGAAAGATGTTGGGCTGAAGTGAAAAAAGACTTAGAAATTTGGTCAAACCTGAAGCTTTCACTGCTGGGTCGTATTGCTGCTGTAAAAATGAATGTATTGCCTAGAATGTTGTTTTTGTTTCAAACATTGCAAATTGTGGACAAAATGGACTGTTTCAAGAGGTGGCAGAGAGATATTTCTAGATTTGTCTGGCAGGGCAAGAAGCCCAGAATAAAATTTAAAATACTAACAGATGCAAAGGATAGAGGTGGATTTGCCCTGCCAGACCTTAAACTTTAGTATGAATCAGCAGCTTTCTGCTGGTTGAAAGAATGGCTGCTTCTTGAAAACACTGACATTTTGGATTTAGAAGGTTTTAACAACGTATTTGGATGGCATGCATATCTGTGGTATGACAAGGTCAAAGCGCATAAAGCATTTAAAAACCATATTGTCAGTAAAGCATTGTTTAATGTTTGGATAAGATACAAGGATTTATTGGAAAACAAAACTCCAAGGTGGCTGTCACCAATGGAAGCGAAAGCCTTGAAAAAGCTCAATATGGAGGTCAAATGGCCAAAATATTGGGAAATTTTGGAACAAGATGGAGACAGATTGAAATTGCAGAGTTATGAAAAACTAAAAAACAAAGTGCGAGACTGGCTTCATTATTATCAGATAATGGAGGCATACAATTTGGACAAGAAAATTGGCTTCCAGGTGGAAAAATCAAAATTAGAAACAGAACTGTTAGAACCCAAAACTAAGAATTTGTCAAGAATGTATAACTTGCTGTTGAAATGGAATACTCAGGATGAAACGGTGAAATCTGCTATGATTAAATGGGCACAAGATGTTGGACATAATATTATGTTTGCTGACTGGGAACAGTTATGGACCACAGGCATGAAGTTCACGGCATGTAATGCCCTAAGAGAGAATATTATGAAAATGATATACAGGTGTTACATGACCCCAGTCAAGCTTGCAAAAATCTACCATTTGCCCGATAATAAATGTTGGAAATGTAAAGAAACTGAAGGTACATTTTTCCACCTTTGGTGGACGTGCCCAAAGATTAAGGCTTTCTGGGAGATGATATATAATTAATTAAAAAGGGTATTTAAATATACCTTCTTGAAGAAACCAGAGGCCTTTCTCCTGGGCATAGTCGGCCAATCGGTGTTGAAAAAGGACAGAACTTTCTTTATGTATGCTACAACAGCAGCAAGAATACTCATCGCAAAGTATTGGAAGACACAAGAGCTACCCACACTGGAGGAATGGCAGATGAAAATGATGGACTACATGGAATTGGCGGAAATGACTGGCAGAATCCGTGACCAGGGAGAAGAGTCGGTGGAAGAAGATTGGAAGAAATTTAAAGATTATTTACAGAAACATTGCAAAATTAATGAATGTTAGAGTGATGTTGGATTGAAGTTAAGTGGCTTCTAGCTGTACAGGTTTTAAAGCTATAAATATATCAAGATTAAGGATTAGGATCAAAAAGGTTAAGAGAAATGGAAAAATTGGTTCTAAATAGGTAAAAATTTAATGTCATAATATATTAAGATTTAGGATTGGAATTAAAAAGGAGGGAAAGAAATTGCTGGGCTTACAAACTGAATTGGAATACAAAAGAGGGAGGTATGAGGAAGTCCGGGAAATAAGTAAATGTAAAAGAAGTTATGAAAAGACGGAACTATTTTTAACTGTTTTTTTTTCTTTTTTCTTTTTTCTTTTTTTACTTTTTTATATTTTGTACTTTGTATTTTTTATGGTGTATTTTTTTCTGTTTTTGTTAAAAATTTTCTTGTTTATTAATGTGATTTTATTATTTCTGAAACTTTTATAAAATATTAATTAATTACACTGTAAAAAAAAAAAAGAGAGAGAAGCGGACACGGAGCAATGGATCCAAACTACAAGAAAGAAGATTCCACCTAAACGTTAGGAAGAACTTCCTGACAGTAAGAGCTGTTCGACAGTGGAATTTGCTGCCAAGGAGTGTGGTGGAGTCTCCTTCTTTGGAGGTCTTTAAGATTAGGCTTTACAGCCATATGTCAGGAGTGCTCTGATGGTGTTTCCTGCTTGGCAGGGGGTTGGACTCGATGGCCCTTGTGGTCTCTTCCAACTCTATGATTCTATGATTCTATGATTCTATGGAACGTGGAGGTAGAGCATAGACAACACTTTCCATTATACATCAGGCTATGTTTCAGCCAAGGCAAAAGACGCATCATCATAATCAACCATCTGTGTGAGCAAGAGGCATTTTCACAGCCCAAGTGCATGTCCAAGTCAGGTAAGAGCACTTGAGAAAGGTGCAGAGCAGGGCCAGAAAGGGAGATGGTCTGGGGAGAGTGCCAGGGGCTGGGCACAGAGGCCTGTGAGATGGGAGGTTGCAGTTGTCCTCCAGACCTGAAAATCCTCACCCCTGGCCTGCAGGAACACCTGAACAAGCTATGACTCCAAGCTAGTTGTAGACTCCAAGTTAAGACTTACATGTAAGCTTGCACAAAATGGCAGCCACCCAGACTGATCCCATCTGGATTTATCCAGACGTTAGTCCTACTGCATTCAATGGAGCTTTCTCCCAAGTATGAGTGTGCACAGGACTGTATGTGCATCCTTCAGGAGGAATTCAGCATCATGCTAAGGTGATCATTCCATCAGGGCAAGGATTTGGGCTTGCTAGGTGGAATGATACCCCCTCTCCTCCTCCCTGCACTGTTCTAAAAGTTCTCCTGACTCCCCTCCCCTGAGCCATGTATTAGGGGGGGTTGTAAGTGGCACACAGGGGAGGAGAACAGGGATAAATCCTAGTTGTTCACGCAAAGGTCCTTGTACTGGGCTTCTGCTGAGGGAACTCATGAGTTCAATCTGGTTCTTTATTACAAGAAAAACTACCAGCAGAGGAGCCAAGGAGTTAAAGCTCCAGATTTTTTTTGCAAAGCAGCTAGCTTTAAAAGACAAAGCAGAAAAGTAGAGAAACAAGTTTAATGCTCCTGACTTTGCTTTTAAGATAAAAACTAGAGCAAGGGCCAACAGACTCTAAATCGCAGCAGAGCTGACATTCAAGTTGAAGTAGAGCACTCTTTTTAAAAATATGTGTTTGCCCATTGGATTTAGCAACAGAAGCTTTCCTTCCACTGGTCCAAAATTTATATTCCTTTTGCTTTGTGGAAGCGTCTATTGGGACACATAAAATTGCCCTTGGGCTGTAATTACACCAGCTTCCTTCTTGTGCATACGGAGAGTGTCATCAAATGTAGGGAGACCTGTAGGCAGAGCTTTTTTCAGCCAGAACTCGCCGGAATTCAGTTCTAGCACCTCTCAGGTGGGCGCCATTGCCATCCAGATGGACGGGGTATAAATAATAAGTTGTTGTTGTTGTTGTTGTTGTTGTTCTAAGAGAACAAGGGAGGTGTTCATGGTGAGTTCTGGCACCTCTTTTTCTAAAAAAAATAGCACTGCCTGTAGGAGTATCTGAGCGGAACTTTGAAGAAACTGGGCTTCTAGCTACTGTAACAGGACCAGTGGTCAGGGGTGATGGGAGTTGTAGTCCCAAGACATCTGGAGGACCGAGTTTGCCTATGCATGTTCTAAAACCTCATTTGCCCTCTTTTTCTTTTTGGCAGCCCTAAGAACAGAAGAAGAACCTTCCAGTATCAGGTCAATGGCCCATCTAGTCTAGCATTCTGTTTTTATAATGGCCACCCAGATGGCTGTGGGAAATCAGCAAGCAGGACCTAAGCAGAAGAGCATTCTCTCCTCCTGCAGTGCCAGCAACTGGTATTCGGAAGCATGGCTGCCTCTGACATGGAGGCAGAGCGTAGCCATCGTGCCTAAGAGTCATCAATAGCCATAGTCTGAATGCCATTCACCCCAGTCAGAATAGGGATACCTCCAGGGACTTTTGCTTTCCTTCCACTTTGATGTTGTGAAGCCAAAATAAACCCTCGGCAGCTTCTGGTAGATGAAGATACTTTGGACCAGGCATAGGCAAACTCAGCCCTCCAGGTGTTGTGAGACTACAGTTCCCATCATCCCTGACCACTGGTCCTGTTAGCTAGTGATGATGGTAGATGTAGTCTCAAAACATCCTGGAGGGCCGAATTTGCCTATGCCGGCTTTCGACGTATCTATGCCACTAACAAAGAATGCAAGGAAGCATAGCTAATCTCTAGCTTCTTCCTGAACTACCATCTCCTCAGATGGTGGCTAATGACCATCTAACTCTAGACGTTGCCTCTTTTATGCCTCAACTGCTTCTTTGTATGGAATTTCTTCTAGAGATGGGAGAATCTGCCAGTTCAGGTTTCTCCCAGTGAATCATTTTCACAGTCTTAAGTTCAGTTCTCCACATCTGCACATCATGAAAGTTTGCCATCATTTTAGTGTCAATTTCTCCCAATATACACATTTTTGCATAATATACACATTTCTCAAAGCTTTTCTCTAATATAATGCCTTTTTTGTTATTTTCACCGATATATCCATTTCTATGCATACTTTACTTTAGTATATGCATTTTGTACACACTACCTGGCTGGATAGGGACACGGGTGGCGCTGTGGGTTAAACCACAGAGCCCAGGACTTGCTGATCAGAAGGTCAGCGGTTCAAATCCCTGCGAAGGGGTGAGCTCCCGTTGCTCGGTCCCTGCTCCTGTCAACCTAGCAGTTCAAAAGCTCGTCAATGTGCAAGTAGATAAATAGGTACTGCTCCGGCGGGAAGATAAATGGCATTTCCGTGCGCTGCTCTGGTTCACCAGAAGCGGCTTAGTCATGCTGGCCACATGACCCGGAAGCTGTACGCCGGCTTCCTCAGCCAATAAAGTGAGATGAGTGCTGCAACCCCAGAGTCGGTCACGACTGGACCTGATGGTCAGGGGTCCCTTTACCTTTAGCTTACCTGGCTGGAAAACTGAACTGCAAAATTTGGAGAAGAGGGAATGTCAAAATGATGGCAGTGTTTTGGTTTGCCTATGGTTGTGGATTAGGTAAACTTTAAATGCAGGCTGAGCTGAATTTATTTCCCAGCCATGGTTTCTACCTTCCCAGCATAATGACTAGTATAAACATCTCACGGTGTGCTGTCATATAACAAGTTTCCTTTCTCTGCCTTCATTAGTAGCTGCCGTTGTTGATGTGGAATGGGATGGAGATGCTTCACTACACGACGATGGCATTTCACACTATATTTGTTTGTTGATGTGATTCCAACTTCAGAGAGATAAAACCCTTACCAGCACAAATGAGCTGGGGTTTGGAAAGCCCAGACTACCTTTGTTAAATCATCAGAACAAGCGTGTTGTACAGATGACATGCCTTTTTATATTCTCTGCTGTGATCAGGAGAGCTATGGTGATCAGCTGCTAAGGAAGACCTTTTTTCATGTAAAGAGTAGACATGGGGTAGCCAACATGGAGTCTTCCAGATGCTGTTGGACTACAACTCCCATCAGCCCCGGCTGGCATGGCCAATGGTCAGGAATGAAGGAAGTTGTAGTCTGTCAGCCTCCTCTGGAGTAGACCCACCTCTTCCCTGCTTTAGGTGTGAACCGGGCAGATACATGCACATCGGCTTCAACACATTAGGTTTTTTAAAAAGCAAAGCAATGTAGCCATTGTTGCTCACTGTGAACATACTCTTCTTTTCTGTTCTGCTTTGGTCTCTGGACAAACAAAATCAAGATAAGAGACACTAATTCTTATAGCTACGGATGAGGAAAGTCCATTCTGTTCACATTTCCAGGTGAACTTACTTAATTCACAAGTTCTAAAACAATACAAGATTCAAAATTTAGTGTGCTAGTCCCGGGGGGAAGGTTACTGTTGTCATAGTCAAAGTCCAGTCCTGAGTCACTAGCCTGGAAACAGTTCACAAGGAGCGAGGCGAGGTCCGAAGCAGAAAGCCGGGCGGGAACAGGAACACTGGAAGGTCAGAAGCAGGAAGCCGGGCGGGGACAGGAACACTGGAAGGTCAGAAGCAGGAAGCCGGGCGGGGACAGGAACACTGGAAGGTCAGATCTGGGTCCGGGTAGGAGCAGGTACTCAACGATGACGTTGCTCCCGCAACCTGGGACCGGGCTGACTGACCTTTATCTTCTCTGAGGCCAGGGGCGGTCCCGGCCCCCAGGAGACCCGCCTCTCCTGGCCTTAAGGCGAGCACTCCTCCTGGGAGAAACCAGTTCCCTTCGCCTCTCTGCCCTGAGCCGCTGCAGTTCAGGAGAGGCTGAAGGGTTACTGGACCCAGGGGGAGACTCACCTGTAGGCACTGAGTCCTCAACCACCTCTGGAGCCAGAATGGATTCACCTGGTGCCTGCTCCTGACGATCCGGCACAGGTGTAGGCGCCTCAGAATCAAGGCCCTGCCCCAGTTCAGCCGGCCCTGGAGGCGGGGACTCCTGTGCAGGCTGGGATTCCTCCGGTTCACCCTCTGAATCAGATTCCCAGGCCATCACATATAGCTAGCGTTCAATACTCGCACCTCTCTGAATTTTGCAATGCCATTCTATTAGTAAGCAGTATTTACAAAGGTGCATATATTGTGGGGGGGGGTGCTATTGGCTTTGTTTGTTTTTGCTTTATTGTGTATTTTATTTTTATTTTGGATTTTCATTTTGGATTTTTCTGTTGTGAACCACCCTGGGATATTCACATGAAGGCAGTACAGTCATACCTCGGGTTGAAGTAGCTTCGGGATAAGTATTTTCGGGTTGCGCGCTGAGGCAACTTGGAAGTAATGGAGCGCGTTACTTGCGGGTTTCGCCGCTTGCGCATGCGCAGACAGTCAAAATGACATCATGCGCATGTGCAGGAGCGGCAAATCACGACCCACTTCTGTATGCAAACGGGACTCTGGAACGGATCTTGTTTGCATCCAGAGGTACCACTGTGTACAAATTTAACAACAACAACAACATCAACAACATCTTGGGGGAAATGTGCATTAAAATGACTATATTACTGCAATTATTTATTTATTTATACATACCCCACCCATCTGGTTGGGTTTCCCCAGCCACTCTGGGTGGCTAAAAAAATAATCTTATAAAATATGTTCTGTTGAGGGAAATTGCTTGCAAAACTGTAGATTAGTCAAAACAGTAGAGGAGAAATTTCCACCAAAATGCTAGGGCATATTCGTGAGTTTTGGGGTTTTTTTTTAAAAAAGGCATGCAAATCATTGCAGAAATATGAAGAAGTGAATATAATACAGGAAAAATTAGAAACTGACTGTGCCCAAACTAACAGATCCATCCCTACTTACAGGCCTGATGAATGGGTAGCTTATACAGCTTCCATGCACTTGGAGGTTTGGATACAAGGGCAAAAAAAGTTCCACAACGGTTATATTTGGCTGCAGCTGAGGAGGGAGGCTTCTCAAAAGGTCAGAAGAAAGAGCTCAAGGCTCCTTCATCTTCTAAGAGTTACTTTATTCCTTTGAAGGTGCTCATCAAAGAGCAAGATTTAGTGTTCTGCTTGAGAATGGGCACAGGCATTCTAGAGGACAGGAGTTCTGAAAGGCTAGGCAAAGTGCATTGTCAGGACATTCTTCACATCTGAAGCTGAGAACGCCTTCTAGTTTGCAGCACATCTCTGGCAAATGTTGCCAATGGAGGAGAGAAGCCAGAAAAGGACACTGTGGCAGCAGCGGATAGCTTGATGAAAATGCCGGCCCCAGTTTGTGGCAAAGGTGAGGCAGGCAAAATATCAATGAAACGGATTGAAAATAAAGCTGTCAAAATCATAACGCCACTCTAGAGAATCTATAGCACAACCATATTACAGTTTTACCTTGGGTTAAGTACTTAATTCGTTCCGGAGGTCCGTACTTAACCTGAAACTGTTCTTAACCTGAAGCACCACTTTAGCTAATGGGGCCTCCTGCTGCTGCCGCGCCGCCGAAGCACGATTTCTGTTCTCATCCTGAAGCAAAGTTCTGAACCCAAGGTAATATTTCTGTGTTAGCGGAGTCTGTAACCTGAAGCATATGTAACCTGAAGCATATGTAACCCGAGGTACCACTGTATTGGAATAGTAAGTACAGTTCTGGCTGCCACACCTCAAAAGGGTTATCGTAGAACTGGAAAAGATTCAGAAAAGTAGCTGGAGCAAGTCCTCTGTGATGGAAGGTCATGGTGTTTAGGGCTGTTTGTTTGTTTGTTTGTTAAATTTGTATACTGCCCAATACCCATAGATCTCAGGACGGTTCACAACAGGATGGTTTAGGGACAAATACCAGTAATGAGAGACATGGTAAAGGTGTATAATATTATGCGTGGTTTTGACAGAGTGGATAGGAAGAAGTCTTCCTCCTTCTCTCTTAACTGTAGAACCATGGTACCATCCAATGTAGCTGAATGTTGAAATGTCCTGGATCGACAAAAGAAAGTACCGTATTTTTTACTCTATAAGACGCATTTTTTCCCCTCCAAAAATTAAGGGGAAATGTGTGTGCGTCTTATGGAGCGAATGCAGGTGCCTTGGCTTCAGCGATAGCCGCCTGAAGCCTTCGGATCGCAGCGGGAGGTCCCACTGCGCTCCGAAGGCTTCGGGTTGCCTTCACTGAAGCCTTAAGCCTCTGGTATGCAGCGGGAGCTCCTGCTGTGCTCTGGAGGCTTCGGGTTGCCTTCACTGAAGCCTGGAGCGCGAGAGGGGTCGGTGCGCACCGACCCCCTTGCTCTCCAGACTTCGGGTTCCTTTGGCTGAAGCCAGGAGAGCAAGACTCTCCTGGCTTCAGCGAAAGGAACCCGAAGCCTCCGGAGAGAGGGAGAGCTGCGCAGCGCCCCTTCAGTGAAGCGGGAGGAGAAATAGAAGGGGCTCCATTTCTCCTGCCACTTTGCTGAAGGGGCGCTGAGCAGAGAGGGGGAGAATCTCTTTTTTTTTCTTGTTCTCCCCCTCAAAAACAAGGTGCTTCCTATTGTCGGGTGCGTCCTATAGAGCGAAAAATACGGCACTTATCCACTAAGTGCATAGTTAAAGTATGGTATTCAGTCCTTGTTAGGATATTTCCGTTCCACCTTAAAAGGGAGCAGGCTTTGTGAGTCAGAGTCTGCGTATTTCCTGTTCACAGGATGTTTATGTTTTCTGTTGCTTTCGTTTTCTCTCTTGTGTCGCAGACACTAAAGCAGTCGGTCATGTTTTTCTGTGTTCTGATCAACGCTGAATAAACTTGTAAATAATGCTCTCCTGGGTGCAACTTTTGCTGTGACTATCTGCTGATAGAGTGTGCATGAGCTCTGGAATGTGGCAAGAAATCTTCTAGAAACTCATGTCGCTAATTGTTGATACTGCGTGACTACAGGAGGTCAATGGATCGTCCGGCAGACGGCTTGGGGGCCTTGATGGACTTTATCTCCCTGGCAGTATCCCAACAACAGGTTTCGGGCCCAGATTCACAGCACTTACAGGAGAGTAAGACTGCGACAGACTGCTGAAAGGTATGTGGAAGAAAAGCGAAAGTAAGGCTTTTCTGTTTGCCGCGGCAAGCACCTTTGATGTCCGGCTGGCAGATTAATGGGTCTGGGAGCCGCGCCAAAGGCCTCAAGATTTATGAGCTGCCGAGATAAGACGTCTCTGAAGTGAATTAGACTCACGGCTCGAATAGAAACCTGGAATGGAGTTTTTCCAAGCTTCTGAGGCTGCTGCGTGCCCAAAGTTAAATCGGCACAATTATGGGACCTGGGCTGTGTGGTGTGAGAGCTTGCTGCGTCAGTTTGGAGTGTGGCATACTGTGTCTGAAGCCCCCCAGTTCCTCTGACAGATAGATGGGAGGCCGAGAATTTGAGGGCGATAGACGTAATCGTCTTGTCCGTCTCTCTGGAGGAAATAAAGACGCTAGCTGGCAATCTGACTGCACGTAATATGTGGCATGCTTTGAAGATAGCCCATCTGCCAGTCATCCCAGCCCAGAGTTTGACTGCATCGGAGGTCCTGGCTGTTTCCCAGAATGCGAGTGAATGCAGGGATGCCGAGGGCACCGGTTGCAAGCTGCAGGGGAGCTGACTGTCACGTCATCCCAGGCAGCATTCCAGCCTCCAGGGGGAGCCAAGGAGTCGGCAGCTGAGAGCTCTGTTTCTCGTGGGAGCCAAGGTCATCGCCTTTGCAGAGGCCGGAAGGGCAAAGGTAAACAGAGGCAGACGCCTGCAGATGGCCAGGAGCAGGGGGGCAAGCTGCAAAAGCCCACGCCAGAGGAAAACAAGGTTTTGTTTGCTGGCACAGATTCACCAAAGGCTAAAGGCAAGTCTGATGGCCAGGAGCAGGGGGGCAAGCTGCAAAAGCCCACGCCGGTGGAAAACAAGGTTTTGCTTGCTGCAAAGGCTGCTCCAAAAGCCAAGGCCAGGTTTGTTGTTGATTCAGGCTGTACCCGCCATGTCTCAAAAGACCGCCATCTATTTATCTCCTTCAAGCCTCAAGAAGGTGAGATCCACCTGGCTGATGGAAAGACGTTGCGAATCGCAGGAGAAGGGACTGTGAAACTGGCAAGTCTGCACACTACCATCAAAGATGTACTATATGTTCCAGGCGCTGCAGACAATTTGCTTAGTGTCCCACAGCTGACTGGGCGTGGTTTTGAGATTTCCTTCAAGAGGAGCGTCTGTGTCATCAGAAAAGGCAAAGAGGACATTTTGCATGCAAAGTTTATGGATGGCTTGTTCTGTATAACTTATGATGACATTGGTGCTGTTGTGTCTAATGCTGATTCTTGTTGTGTTGCACAAACTAACAAAGTTCTTCATGCAGGATGCATTCATGATGCACACAGAAGATTTTGTCACATGTCTTGGCAGGCGCTGGCCAAGATGCCAGAGATGGTTGAGGGTTTGAACATCAAACCCTGTAAGTTTCACATGAAATGTGTATCTTGTGCAGAGAACAAGGTGAAGGTTGCTCCAAAAGGCAAGGAGTCTAGCAGGCAGGCTTCCAAACCCTACCAGCTAGTGCACGCAGACCTGGTTGGTCCACTTGCGCCCTCTTTGGGTGGAGCAAGGTACTTCATGGTTCTAATTGATTCTTTTTCCAGGTACATTCATGTGTTTGTGCTCGAGCAGAAATCGCAAGCGTTTCCTAAGTTCAAGGCATTCTGTGCTTGGTTGGAGAATGTTCATGGTAAACGTATTGGCTGTCTCTTTACTGATCGAGGCGGGGAGTTCACTTCTCAGCAGTTTGAAGCTTTCCTGACTGAGAAGGGAATCCAGCATAGCCTCTCAAGTCCTGGATCTCCATGGGAGATTTGTGAGCAAGCAAAGCAAATGTTGCTGCAAGGACTGAAAACATTGTTGCATGATGCCAATCTCCCTGAGAAGTTTTGGGGGGAGTCTTTGAACTCGTATGTTTACACTTATAATCGCAGATTGTCATCACCTATTGGTTGTGACCCCTATGAGAAGATGTTTGGTAAGAAACCCAACATCAAGCACATGAGAATCTTTGGTTCTGACATGTGGGTACACACCCCACAAAGCAACAAGCTTGGGAAACGTGGGGCACATGGTTTGTTCATGGGGTACGAAAAAGGTGCATACAGGGTATGGATGACCAACTCTAAGTCCATTAAGTTCACAAGGAGTGTTGAGTACAATCCTAAGTGGGGGGAAAATGTGGGAATTTTCCAGAGTTACCCAGAGGAGGATGAAGGTGATGTCAAAGAAGCAGCTAAAGCTGAGGAAGCTGCTGAGGACGATGATGACGATGATGATCAGAGTTCGGATTCCAGTTCAGTGGGCAGCGCTGCTGCTGATGTCGGTGACAGTGATGACACAGCAGACTACAAGAGCGCAAAGGCCTCAGTCAGACCATCTGATGCGTCTGACAATGAACTGGAAGAACCACTGTTCACCATTGGTCACTTTTCTCCTAAGAAAGAGGAGATGAGTCCAGAAGACTTGCGTCTAGTACGCAGATCTGAAAGAGCGACCAAGGGCAGACCTCCAAAGAGATTTGCTGATGAGTTTGCTAAGACAGCAACTGCTGTTCTTAGTAGCTCAGAGAAGGTGTGGGAACCTTCAAGCTTCAAAGAGGTTCAGGAGTTAACCTCTAAAGATGCTGAGCCTTGGCTTAATGCCATGAAGGCTGAAGTTGATTCCTTGAACAGGAACCAAACTTGGGAGTTGGTACCGGTAGTCCCAGGAATGAGACTGGTTGGCAGCAAATGGGTCTTCAAGGCCAAGACAGACCAGAATGGCAAGGTTGTCAGACACAAAGCCAGATTGGTTGCCAGAGGTTTTTCACAGGTACCAGGACAGGATTACCACGAGACCTACTCACCCACCGTCAAATATGAGAGCATTCGGCTGATGCTCAAGATTGCTGCGGAGGAGAAACTGCATGTTTCCCATCATGACATTAATACAGCTTTTTTGTACGGGATTTTGGGGGAGGAGCTGTTTATGCTTCCACCTGATGGAATGCAGATACAGAAGGGAATGGTCTGTAAACTGCGGAAATCCTTATATGGTCTCAAGCAGAGTGCCAGGTGTTGGAACACAAAACTCACTGAGACATTGCTTTCTCTAGGTTTTCACCAGGGCAAAGCTGATCCACGTGTGTTTGTCAAGGAGGAGGGCAAAACAAACTGTATTGTTTATGTTTTGTTGATGATCTTCTGATGTTTTGGAAGAATCAGGCTTTTATCAAAGCACCCTAGCTCAGCTGAAGGAGCACTTTGACATGAAGGATCTTGGTGAGGTATCCAACTATCTTTCTCTGCAGGTGGAGAAGGACCAAGCAGGTAATTTTCTGGTACACCAAACACAGAAAATTGCTGATGTATTAACCAGGTTGAATTTGGTTGATGCAAACCCAGCAGACACACCGATGGTAACAGGTTACCAGGTAGATAGTACTGCTGAAGCGTTTTCTGACATTACGCTGTACAGATGCATTCTAGGCAAGTTGAATTTCATTGCTAGATGCTCAAGACCTGACATAGCTGTAAGCACTAACCTGCTTAGCAGACATGCTAACAATCCTACTGTTCAGGATTGGAAAGCTCTGAAGCGCATAGCCCGCTATTTGAAAGGGACTTTGCACTACAGGCTGAGGTTCACCAGTCAGAAGACTGGAGGTCTTGAAATCTTTGCAGATGCAAGTTTTGGAAGTGACACCACGGATGGTACAAGCACTTCTGGAGTATGCTACATGTACAACCACTGCCTGTTTGACTGGTTGTGCAAAAGCAGACGACAGTGAGCCTAAGTTCCTGTGAAGCAGAACTCAATGCTCTGTCATTTTCACTCATGGATTGTGAATGGTTGATGCAACTGTTTAAGGACATCAGAGTGTCTGTGAAATGTCCTGTACAAGTGTATCAAGACAATAGATCGTGTTTGGCTTTGCTGAACTCGGAGAGTTGCAAGCAAAGGACCAAGTACTTGCAGATTAAGCTACATCGTGCAAGGGAGTGTATTCAGAAAGGACTCATTCAGGTGTCCTACATGCCAGGAAATGAAATTCCTGCTGATCTGCTGTCTAAGGTTGTTAACAGAGAACAACTTAAGGTTTATGTACAAAGGTTGCAATTGGGTTGAACCACAGGTACTACAGGTTACACGGAAAGGGGGAGGATGTTAGGATATTTCCGTTCCACCTTACAGGGAGCAGGCTTTGTGAGTCAGAGTCTGCGTATTTCCTGTTCACAGGATGTTTATGTTTTCTGTTGCTTTCGTTTTCTCTCTTGTGTCGCAGACACTAAAGCAGTCGGTCATGTTTTTCTGTGTTCTGATCAACGCTGAATAAACTTGTAAATAATGCTCTCCTGGGTGCAACTTTTGCTGTGACTATCTGCTGATAGAGTGTGCATGAGCTCTGGAATGTGGCAAGAAATCTTCTAGAAACTCATGTCGCTAATTGTTGATACTGCGTGACTACAGGAGGTCAATGGATCGTCCGGCAGACGGCTTGGGGGCCTTGATGGACTTTATCTCCCTGGCAGTATCCCAACAGTCCTGACTCCCTTGTTCCATCAGCTCCCAGGCAGTTTCCAGGCATAATTAAAAGTGCTGGTTATGACATAAAAAGCTCTGCAAGGCCTAGGTCCAAGCTACCTGAATGAATGTATTCCCTTATTCAGTCCCACCACCCTCACAGGCACACTCTGTAGGGATGCAGGAGAGGGCCTTCTCAGTGGTGGCTCCCAGACTTTGGACCTCCTTCCCTAGAAAAGTTAGTTTGGCTCCCTCCTTGTTGTCCTTCCGTTGGCAGGGGACTTTCCTCTTGCAACAGACTTCTGGGAACTGACTGCTTTTAATAAAAGGGCTGGTGCCGTGTCAAGAAAAGAAGGCGGGATAGAAATATAATAATAATAATAATAATAATAATAATAATAATAATAATGGCCACCAACTTGGACTTCAAAACATACTTGGGCAAATTCATGGAGGAAAAGCTATCGATGGTTACAAGGCATGATGGGTATGTTCTACCTCTAGTGTTGGAGGCAGTATATCTCTGAATATTAGTTGATGGGAATCACAATTGGGGGTGTTGTGGTGCCCATGCCCTACTTGCAGGTTTCCCATAGGCATAGGTTCCCATAGGTTCTTATGTCCTTACAAGCTCAGAGGGACGCAGGTGGTGCTATGGTCTAAACCACTGAGCCTCTTGGGCTTGCTAATCAGAAGGTTGGCGGTTCGAATCCCTGCAACAGGGTGAGCTCCCGTTGCTCTGTCCCAGCTCCTGCCAACCTAGCAATTCAAAAGCACGCCAGTGCAAGTAGATAAACAGGCACTGCTGCGGCAGAAAGGTAAATGGCGTTTCCGTGCGCTCTGGTTTCTGTCACGATGTTCTGTTGTGGTTTAGTCCTGCTGGCCACATGACCTGGAAAGCTGTCTGTGTTTCATTAGTTGCTTCCTACTAAATGTTTTGTGTGAATGTGAATTCAAGAATGGACGCTTGACCTGAAACGTGTACAGTTGTTTGCCTGAAATGTGAAGACTCAAAGTATGGGGGGGCATGCAAGCCCTGCCCCCAATGCCTTCGCACGTGTTGCACTCCCTCTTGGTCACCAACCTTCCCTCTATTGCACAAGGAAGATCTGCAGGGCTCCTACTCACATTGTCTCTAATGCAAGCAGACTCCCCTGTGTTATCAAGGACCTTGTTCTGTCTGGATCCTTTATTATGTGTTCAAGCAAACACAAGGAGGATCTTGTATGGAGCTTCCCATGCAAAACGGGGGATTTAAAAAAGAAAAAAGAAAATCCACAAATTGCTGCAAAGGAAAAATTTTTTGTAGAGAACCAAATTTAAGATTGAAACTGAAAAACTGAGAGAATCGAAATGACAAATGCTTCCGTCCCTAGTAGAAATGTCTAAAGAGGGATGGAAGAGGGAGAGGGAGAGAGGAAGGAGGGAGAGGAGAAACTATCTAAACATGGAGCTGCTTATTTTCTGCACATTGCTTCCATAAAACACTTTGGGAATTTTTCAAGATCTGTTACAGTGAAAAGACCCCACTGTCAATAAGAATTAATCTACCAAATCCCTTCTCAAACTACACGTTTCCTGACTCAAATACATGTTTTTACAACAGCAAGCAATATGCTTCTTGAGCCTAGCTGCACAGTCGCATCAAGCAAAGCCTCATTTTTCTAGATGTTTGTATGAAGGATGGACTCCAAGTTATACCAGGCCCCTCCTACTTCGATGTCACTTCCTGTAAAAGCTACTTGAAATCTGGCTTGTGTGAAGTCTATCTCCTTCTGCCTCTTTGGCTATTTAAGTACTTAGAAGCTCATATATAGTTCTCAGAAACCATCTGGATAGGCCCCTCTCCCATATATAATTGTACCAGGCAGCTCATTGCTGTTCAGAATACATTTAAATTCATATATATTGCATGAATAATAATAATAGTAATAGTAATAATAATAATTTTATTTGTATCCCGCTCTCCCTGGCCAAAGCCGGGCTCAGAGCAGCTAACAACAGATTAAAATAGCACAGTGTACATAAAATCGCTCAGTCAGTTAATTAAAATACATTCTAGAATCAATTCAGAATAAAATTAATGGCAACCATCGGGCTGGAGTTCTATGAAGATTACAGAAGGAGAAAGAGGGTGAGACTGTGCCTTGGCCAAAGCCCTGGTGGAACAGCTCTGTCTTGCAGGCCCTGCGGAAAGATGTCAAGTCCCAGAGGGCCCTAGTCTCTTGTGACAGAGCATTCCATCAGATCAGGGCCACAGCCAAAAAAGCCCTGGCTCTGGTCGAGGCCAGTCTAACCTCCCTGTGGCCTGGGATCTCCAATATGTTTTTATTTGAAGACTGTAAAGTCCTCCATGGGACATACCAGGAGAGGCGGTCCTGTAGGTACAAGGGTCCTAGGCCGTATAGGGCTTTAAAGGTTAAAACCAGCACCTTAAACCTGATCCTGTTCTCCACCGGGAGCAGCTGGTATAGCACCAGGTGAATGTGATCCCGCAGCGAGGACCCTATAAGGAGTCTCGCCGCGGCATTCTGCACCACCTGGAGTTTCTGAATCAGTCTCAAGGGCAGCCCCACGTAGAGTGAGTTACAATAATCAGGTTGGAGGTGACCGTTGTGTGGATCACAGTGGCTAGGTCAGGGCGAGAAAGGTAAGGGACCAACTGCTTAGCTTGGCGGAGATGAAAAATGCCACCTTTGTTATAGCTGCAACCTGCGCCTCCATAGAAAGGGAGGTGTCAAAGATTACACCCAAACTGTTAACGGACAGCACTGGCACTAATTGCACCCCGCAAAAGATGGGAATTGCCCCCCCCCAATCCCATATCGTCCCAAAGGGAAGACCCTCAAAGAACTAGGGAGACAGAAGAAGGGGGAGATCTATGTGGCTGTAATGTGTGTTGTGAATCCCATGTACCTTCTGAGAGGGGAAATCAGAAATCCTGCACTAATTTTGCCTGAAACAAGCCAGCGATAGCTGGTAGCACTGGACCCATGGCGAATTCAGAACAATTTGTCTTAAAAACCTTATTCAAGAGAAGTTCAAACGAAGAGGGGTTTATTTGATTTTTTTTAAATTTCCATAACTGATATATGGGGACGCGGGTGGCGCTGTGGGTTAAACCACAGAGCCTAGGACTTGCCGATCAGAAGGTCAGCAGTTCGAATCCCCGCCACGGGGTGATCTCCCGTTGCTCTGTCCCTGCTCCTGCCAACCTAGCAGTTCGAAAGCACGTCAAAGTGCAAGTAGATAAATAGGTGCCACTCTTGCGGGAAGGTAAATGGCGTTTCCGTGTGCTGCTCTGGTTCGCCAGAAGCGGCTTAGTCATGCTGGCCACGTGACCTGGAAGTTGTCTGCGGACAAACACCGGCTCCCTCAGCCAATAAGGCGAGATGAGCGCCGCAACCCCAGAGTCGGCCACGACTGGACCTAATGGTCAGGGGTCCCTTTACCTTTACCTTTACCTAACTGATATATAAAACATTGCGGCAAACCAACCCCTTTAATTTATTTAGCTTTTCTCTCTCTCCAGGATTTCTTACTTGCAGAGTTGACAATCCTACTTAGAATGACAAGACTTGAAAACTCACAAGGACATCACATATGGACATGGCTCTGTTTAATATGAAAGGAGAAATTTGCTAGAGGATGCATATTTACAGCAAAACATATGTATGGGTCAGTTTTAGGGGACATTGCTATTGCACAAAAACATCTGTTTTTGCTCTGTGTAGACATGCTGCTCTTTTTTTAATTTGTATTTTATTTTGTTTTGTTTTATGGAATTGGAAGCATGATATGGAGAGCAACATTTTGCACAGAACCAGCAAAGAGTGTATTGTTCACCCCACACGTACATGCAGGCGGACTGATCCCACGTTTCCCAATCAATCTCTTATAACAGCAGGAATGCAAGAGGCACGAGATCAATTCTTCAGTAAAGAAAAGACAAACAGAAAACTTTTGCAAAAAATAAAAATAAAAACCCAACTCCATGGATTTATAAAACACAATTAACTGCAGGAAAGGGAAGGAAACATTGGATGGTCAACACTTGTACTAAAAAAAGAAGACAGAAAAGAACCTTGGAGCTATTTGCAGAAACACAGCATCATTCAGCCCAGACACTGAGGTCCAGCTCTGAGGGCCTTCTGGTGGTTCCCTCACTGCAAGAAGTGAAGTAACAGTGAACCAGGCAGAGGGCCTTCTCGGTAGTGGCGCCAGCCCTGTGGAACGCCCTCCCATCAGGTATCAAGGAAATAAACATCTGACTTTTAGAAGACATCTGAAGGCAACCATTTTAATGTGTGGTGTTTTATCGTGTTTTTAATATTCTGTTGGGAGCCACCTAGAGTGGGTGGGAAACCCAGCCAGATGTCCAGGGTGTAAATAAAATATTATTATTATTAATTATTATTATTATTATTTCAGCTGAAGACAACTGAACCCTGATATGCTCCTACAGATGGAAACAACAGTAACAACTCCTGTATGACAACAAGCATGTGAAGGGAAAGGCTGTTGTGTTAGCCTGCAGCTGCAGAGACATGGGGGACCAATCGAACATTTGAGCTCCCCAGCAGCTTAAATGGGCCAGTCCTCCAACACATACATCCCATGTGATTTCTGTACATCTCTTTCACCTCTGCTAGGGACTCCGTTGAAAAACATTGGGTTTTGGGTCATAATGGAATTTTGATTGTGGAATTCGGTCTGCAACGGATCATCCATACATCCACTTGATATGAACTGGCCCTCAGATATGGCTTCTGAATACAACAATAAGAACACCCAAATGAAGTGTGACAATGTTTGCCCCTAATGTAAGTGAAGAAAAACACATTGCTACCCACAGATAAGATTTGTGTGTGTGGTGGTGGGGAATTCACAGCTGTCAGTCCAATCAGCTTTGATTCATGGAAGGATTAGAGGGCGCCATCTTGTCCTTTGCCTCAGACAGCAAAATGTCTTGGGCCAGCCCTGAGCGCCTCCAAAACTTCAGACAGGGAAAAGGGATGTGCCCAATTTGATGCTCAAATGAAGAGACCATTGGGAAAAGCTGGAGCAGAACAGAGTGAGTAGCCTCTAGGATTTGGTAAGTAAAGCCGGTTCCACAATACAGACTAAAAGTTTTCACCAACATTGTAGAGGCAACAATGGTACCAATTTGTCTAGCTCAGCAAGGCCTTTCATGTCCCTGAAAGAACTTCTCATGCGAAAAATCTGAAATATCATGAATGTGTTTGAATTACATGTGAACTTTCCTTGAGAGAGAGAGAGAGAGAGAGAGAGAGAGAGAGAGAGAGGGAAGGCCAAGGTACCCAACAAAAACGACTATGCAAACATATTTTTTTTTAAATACAAAAGTGTACAAATGCAATTAAGAACACTAAGGGCACAATAATTAAAAAGAAGAAAAAAGCAAGCAAGCATAGAAATGCAGGCACCGTTGAGTAAATTCCTCCAGCATAGCATAATTCATTCAGCCATATAGAAGGGCAGTCATCTCCTCCTGGCTGCTCTGCTTCCTGCCACTGATTCCCTCTATTCCAAATGCGTGTCAGAATGGCACTTAAGTGTAAAGGGCTTTGTATCATCTTCTGCATATGGGGAAATTGCCATTCTAAATTAAACAAGCAATTACAGGTGTTCTGAACATCTGTGTTTATTACCGTTCCTCTCGAAATTAAGCCATTACCTTGCAATAAGTATCTCTCTCTTCCCCTAAGAGCCTAATCTTAGGTCACCTGGTAAACCGACTGGCGATACGCACAAGTAATGAAAAGCTGTGCCTTCAGTGTAGTGGGTTCAAATCTATGGAACTCTCTCCCATTAAAAGTCAGATAGGCTCTGCCCCTCTTAAATGTCAGATGCCAGGTTAAAACAATTCTATGTATTTCAGGGTCTCTTTTCACCATGACATTGTTCTGATGTTTCTATTGCTTTCATCTACCGGTATGTTTTAAATTTTGTATACTGCATGGTGGGTGGGTGTTAGCCACTTGGAGGCATACAGTAAAAAGTGGGATACAAATTATTTAAATAAATAAATTTAACTTGAAAGGAATTGTGTTCTGGAAAAGTGTGCAGCTGTGCAACCTAATCTGCATGTCTGTGTTCCAAACTAACTACAGTGGTACCTCGGGTTAAGTACTTAATTCGTTCCGGAGGTCTGTTCTTAACCTGAAACTGTTCTTAACCTGAAGCACCACTTTGGCTAATGGGGCCTCCTGCTGCCGCCGTGCCACCGGAGCATGATTTCTGTTCTTATCCTGAAGCAAAGTACTTAACCTGAAACAGTATTTCTGGGTTAGCAGAGTCTGTAACCTGAAGCATATGTAACCTGAAGCGTATGTAACCCGAGGTACCACTGTATGATCTGTTGGATGTGGACTGGAGAGGCTCACTGGCTGAGGAAGAGGGGTGTTGGGGGGTGCGGTCTGCTCCAGTTGCCATCCCTGGGGGGGCAACATCGCCACACGCCACCCCGGATGCTCGCCAAGGGTGGCGGGAGGCTAGCATTACCCCTCCCCTGGCGCTCACCACACGGGAGGCAGAAGGCTAGGGACACTCGCCGTGCAGTCGGCTAACCCCGCCCCCACACCGCTCTGGGTGCTGGAGCAGGTAGCTCCGCCTCTGGAGAAGCTTGCTCCAAAGATTGGAGCCAACCAAAATCCTCCTCCATCCTTATTCCAGACATCCAACAAAGCCCTGCACTGCTGTCACCACTGATTTAAGATGTAAGGAGGTTTTCCCTTTGCAGTTTAAAGGATTTATTTGGAGGCTTGCTCTCCTTTTGAGTTTCCTGAGGCACCTGGAAGCGCAAATTCAATAAACTAACTAAACTAAATTTAGTTTAGTTTTGCTCCAGATTATTGGTTATATGGAAGAGTTCTAAACAGCAGGTCATAGACTAAAATCTAATTCGGCTGAGGAGGTCTATATTAATTGCCATTGAAGGACGCAGATCCCAACCCTCAAGGGAAGAAGGTTCAGAGCCCGGAGATTCGTGGTGAGACGATGATGAGTGGTCAGGGGGAGAAGAGGGAGAAGACTGGAAGGAGGAGGTGTTGGAAGCTGAAGAGGTAACCACGTTTAATGAGCAGGAAGAGGCTGGGGCAGAGATAAGTCCAGAATCAGAGGCAGAAGCTGAAGCAAGAGAGGAGGGAGGCCAAGAAGCAGAGATGAGTCAGGCTGGTGAAGAAGCAACGGTGTCTCTTCCTCCTTCTGCAAAAAAACTCCCCTCCCCTGGTTGCCCAGAACCAGGAAAGGGATGAAGTGGGAGGAGCAAAGGCAAGCACACTGGCATAGTCTCAGATTGCTTGACAAAAATCTGGGAAAGGAGGAGACTTAGGCAGCTGTGGGAAAATGGGGACCTTCAGTCTCCACAAATGCCTCATAGGGGCAAGACCTACACAGAAGAGTTGCTGTGCTCATTAGGCCTGACACTCCTGAGGAGACCTTGTTTCTTCTAAGAAAGAGTTAACTTCATGTACTCTGTGTGATTTATTGCTGCATTTCCCCTGACAATAATAATCTAAACAGAACTTACTTCTGATTAGACATGTCCAGGCTTGCACTATTACCTGACTTTTAACTGATTAATTAAGCGACTACATTTAAGTAAATTTGCATATCACAAAAAATTCAATATAGATTATTCTCATGAGATACTAAGGAAAGTGTGAAACTGATTATAATTTAATTAACAGAAGCTGCCATTCTTTGTTTGGATGAAAGATAATCTTTAGTGTTCTTTTCTTTAGTTATGGCTGTGAACACACCAGAATCAAAATAGCTTTGAAAATAAATTGTTGTGGTCTTAATTCTTAGTCTCACCAATTGCAGTTTTCCCTTACACTGTCTTCCCCACTAATTAAGGCTGTGGCCCAATGGAAACTTACTTGGGAGTAGTCCCCAATGAATTGAATGGGTCTTAATTTGAAGCAAATATGCATAGGATTGGGTTGCACAATTGTAATCTTAAGCATATTCACTGAGTAAATCCATTGAACTCAGTGGGTCTCCTCTGTGAGTAAATACTCTTACCATGAACCAGTGTAGTACAGTGGTACCTCGGGTTAAGTACTTAATTCGTTCCGGTGGTCCGTTCTTAACCTGAAACTGTTCTTAACCTGAAGACCACTTTAGCTAATGGGACCTCCTGATGCCGCCGTGCCGCCGGAGCCCGATTTCTGTTCTCATCCTGAAGCAAAGTTCTTAACCTGAAGCACTATTTCTGGGTTAGCGGAGTCTGTAACCTGAAGCGTATGTAACCTGAAGCGTATGTAACCCGAGGTACCACTGTATAATGGTTAGAGTGTCAGACTAGGACCTGGGGGGAGCAAGGTTCAAATCCCCCACTTGCCTATGAAACTTACTGAGTGACCTAGGGCCACTCCCTCCCTCACTCTCAGCCTAATCTGCTTCATAGGGTGGACTCTCCTTCCTTGGAGGTTTTTAAGCAGAGTTTGGATGGCCATCTATCATGTGGAGTTGGCGAAGCTGACAGGGAGGATTAGGAATCGACCTGAAGAAAAATACCAAAAGGACTGGAGCAAATTTATTTATTATTGGAAAGAAAATTGTACCCATATGAAAACATTTGTAGCATTAACGTGAAATGTTTTGTAATGAGAAATTAAGATGCTGATTTATTTTTAAATATTTACAAATAAGAATGTGATTTCTTAAGGCTAATATATGATAAAGAAGTGATTATGGGAATGTGATAGATATGTTAAATGTCATAGGGATGTCAGAAAGAGAGATGGAAGGAAGTCAAAGCTCATTCTGAGCAAATAACATAAATTGTGAATATGTGTATGAAATTAAGATGAAATAAGGAAAAATCAATAAAAATTATGATTTTTAAAAAATATCATGGATGCTTTAGTTGAGATTCCTGTACTGCAGGGGGTTGTTCGGGTTGCCATACATCTGGAATTTCCCAGACATTGTTGGAAAATGGCACTTGGTAGCATTGTCCAGGTTGAAAACGCAGAAGTCTGGAAAAAATCCAGACATACTGTATGGCAACCCATGTCAGAAGTCAATATTTTGGCGATTTCCCGAAAATAGCTCAAAACTCAAAAAAGAAGAAGCTCAACAACCTTTTGAAATATGGCAACCCTAAGACTCTCAGGATCCCTTCTAATTCTATGATTCTATATTGGCGCTCTGGTTTGAGGAACTGGGCTTAAATCCAATACTGGATGCAAAGGGTACGCCACTTCCTTTTTAATTGCTCTATTTCCACTTTGAGTTTCAACAGAGTTCGTACTGGCTGTTCTCATGTTCTCTGGGTTGTTCTCATAATTATGTAACAGGATGCCTGACAAATTATTATTATTATTTTATTTTTTTTAAATGCAATTGGCTTGTTTCCTTTTTTCAAAGAATGCACGCTCTATAGATTTTTCTCCATCTACGCCTGAAGTGAAGATCAATGCAAAGAAATAATTTAAATTCACCATCAGCTTTTGTGCTATAGCAGAATTATGTAACAGACTTGTAATTGGCCAGTTGCCTTGTTATGAGTTGGTGAGTAGAAATTGTTCTGCACTGACTGGAAGTGGCAGGACGCTAGCTTGTTGAAACTGAAGACAGACTGGGGTTGAATGTCCCCCCATTAACAGCTGGTCCATCCCAGTTAGGGTGGGGCTAAGGCTGTTTCATCCCATTTCCATGTGGATTTTTGGGGGAAATCCTTAAGACAGCTGCATGGAAATGCAAACTTTTTTGTTTTAAGTACCGTATTTTTTGCTCTATAAGACTCACTTTTCCCCTCCTAAAAAGTAAGGGGAAATGTGTGTGCATCTTATGGAGTGAATGCAGGCTGCGCAGCTATCCCAGAAGCCAGAACACCAAGAGGGATTGCTGCTTTCACTGCGCAGCGATCCCTCTTGCTATTCTGGCTTCTGGGATTCAGAATATTTTTTTTTCTTGTTTTCCTCCTCCAAAAACTTGGTGCGTCTTATGGTCTGGTGCGTCTTATAGAGCAAAAAATATGGTAACTACAAGGCAGTCTGAGGGCTTCAGCACTGCGTCTGTTCTTCTGAAATGTATTTCTTCCTTTTAAACTTTTAAAAATAGACAATCTAGCTGCCCACAGAATGTTCTTGTCGCCAAGAACTTGATGGGACTTGATGACATTTCAGAAGTCTCAGGTGGAATCAGGAGCGTCAATATTGGGGGCCCCAGGCAAGCCCCACCCTGCATAATTGATCACAAGACATGGCGCGCGCACACACCATTTAAATGACAATGACATAAATGACATCAACTTGGAGTTGGCACCCATGGGTTTAATTTTACAGGAGGGAGAGTTGGAGTCCAGCGGTATCTGTCAGGCCACAGGTTCCTACGCCTGGCCTTTACAATTGGTCCTGCCCTGTGATGGTTTAATTCACAAGCTCCAGAGTGACAATGGTTTGTTCCAGGCAGCAATAGAACCTGTGCCGCTTGGCATATGCTAAGGTTATCCTGGGAAGTCATTAAATGCACAGCAACATGGCATTTTATTCCTGGGAAGTGGCTCTTTGTGGAGAGAGTTATGCACCTTCCCAGTTCCCCCAGATTTTTGAAGAGGTACAGAACTCTGTTTAGATTTCCCTTGCAATTCAAAAAGCCCTGGGATTCCCAAATGCATGTTGTATAATGTCAGAGCCCTAGTAAGCCCCAGTGAGTTCAATTGGACCTATCCTAGATAAGTGTGCATAGGATTGCAACCTCCATCTCCAAAATCAGTGAGGAGATCAGGCCAAGGTTGGTGCAAAAGCAGTTAAATTTATGCTTGCATTCTTGCATACCCAGCTTATATTTTCAGGTGTTGTATCTGGCAAGAACAATGTATTCAATTAAACTGTCTTCTAATAATTTCATATCTAGTTAAACTGGCTGAAAAACAATGCTCTTCATCATTTAAATTGTCTGCTGCTATTTCACATGGAGCAGCATTCGCCAGTCACACAGGTAGAGACTTCATAGTGCAATTTATCTTCACGGACGTACTGCTATAGAATTACATCTCCTCCAAAAGCCTGGTGCCTTAATAAAAGCTGTCCCTCTGGTGGATAAAATGTTTTATTGATAGTACAAGAGTGATCAACTGAATTTCCTTCATTTTCTGATTTGTTTTGAAGAACCTTTCCCACCCACCTTCCCAAACATTTCCCCCCTTCTTTATATAAATTTTGAGGGATTACTTCCAATTGAAGAGTTACAGTGTCCTTATTAAAGGCACCAATTACCTGCTCATGTCATATCTTCCAAGTTTGGGCACAAATAACACTATTAATATTCTGCACCAATTTCACATAATAAATGGCCTTTCTTTGATATTTCTCAGCAGGATAGTTTTCCATTACCACATTGGATTTATTTATGGATATTCTCAAAAATCTGCATAAGCACACAATGAATACCCAACTACAGAAGTTACAAACACACACACATGCTGGTCTAGATTTGTCTTTCGGGATTTTCAAAATCAAAAATCCCTGCTGCAATCCTGACTCCACTAACCTGGGACTAAGTCCCATGGAACTTACTTTTGAGTAAACATGGTTAGGATTGCTTTAAGGCATTCCTACAGAAACCCCACTTCATTTGCATAATCACAGCAAATGTGCTTTTAAATTTTAATGTAATGTAATTTAATTTTCTTTTCTTTTTCATTTTTCATCATTTACAAGAAAATCTTCATGCTCTGTTCCATCTTGTTTCCAATGCCCTCCTTTCCATTCTTCTTTGCTTCTAACTGCATTCATTTATTTTGGGGAGTATATCGGTCACATTTACATATTTAAAATGTGTGCTCAAGATGCTTCACAGATGTAATAAATAAATAAAGATAAAATTCTAAAGAGTATCAACAAATACATTTTTAGGCATACACTTAAAATTTTAAGTGTCTACCTAAAAAATTGTATACAGTGGTGCCCCACAAGACGAATGCCTCGCAAGACGGAAAACCCGCTAGACGAAAGGGTTTTCCGTTTTTGAGTTGCTTCACAGGACGAATTTCCTATGGGCTTGCTTCGCAAGACGAAAATGTCTTGCGAGTCTTGAGATTTTTTTTTCACTCCCCCCCCCCTTTATCTAAGCCGCTAAGCCTTTAATAGCCTTTTAGCAGCTAATCCGCTAATCCGATAAGCCTTTAATAGCCGCTAAACCGCTAATAGCGCTAATCCGTTAAGCCGCTAATAGGGTTGCTTCGCAAGACGAAAAAACCGCTAGATGAAGACACTCGCGGAACGGATTAATTTCGTCTTGCGAGGCACCACTGTACTTTTAACATGGTAATGATACACCAGCAGATAACAACGACTATGTTGGCAGACGGATGAGCCCAGATGCTTCGAGAAGGAAAAACAGTAGTACATCTGCATCTTGTTCACATCAGGGCAGGCCAACCTTTCTCCCTCCAGATGTTTACTGAACTACAACTCCCATGATCCCTGTCCTTGGCCATGCCAGTTGGGGCTGATGTGAGTTGGAAATGACTAATGGTTCCTCAACATCCCGGAAAAAGTGACAAGTGGGGTACTGCAAGGTTCTGTCCAGGGCCCTTTGTTGTTCAATGTCTTTTTAAAAGATTTGGACGAAGGAATTGAGAGGATGCTCATCAAATCTGCAGATGACACCAAACTTGGAGGGGTAGAAGACAAAATTGGGACCTACTGGAGAACTGGTTCTAAACTAACAACATGAATTTTAATAGGGACAAATGTAAGGTTCTGCACTTAGGCAGGAAGAACCAGATGCACAAATAGAAGATGGGTGACAGCTGGCTTGGCAGCAGTACATGTGAAAAGGATCTAAGGGTCTTAGTAGACCACAAGCTCAGCATGAGTCAACAGTGTGATGCAGCAGCAAAAAAGCTAATGCTATTCTAGGTTGCATCAACAGAAGTTTAGTGTCCAGCTCAAGGGAAGTAATAGTACCACTCTGTTCTGCCTTGGTCAAACCACACTTGGAATACTGTGTCTAATTCTGGGCACCACAATTTAAGAAGGATGTTGACAAGATGGAACGTGTGCAGAGGAGGGCAACCAAGATGATCAAGGATCTGGAAAGTAAGCCTTATGAGGGGCAGTTGAAGGAGCTGGATATGTTTAGCCTGGATAAGAGAAGGGGTTGAGATAATGATAGCCATCTTCAACTATCTAAAGGGCTGTGTCACATGGAAGATGGAGCAAGCTTGGACTAGATAATCCTTGGGTCCCTTCCACCTCTACAATCTGAAGGCAGCCCTGTTTGGGGAAGTTTTTAATATTTAATGCTGTATTGTTTTTAACACTTGATTGGGAGCCGCCCAGAGTGGCTGCAGGAACCCAGCCAGATGGGCGGGGTATAAATAAATTATTATTATTATTATTATTATTATTATTATTATTATTATTCTATGAAGGACACCTGGAGCACCTCAGGTAAGCAAATCCTGCTCCACACCTTTGAATCATGTGTTGCAGACTCAGTTAAACGCCAAAAAATTACATTTTCAAAGATGTGGCCGGGTGGGGGCTGGTGTCTCATGATGCCTGGGGAATCTAGATCTCCTTAATACAAGATAAAAGAATTGCACCCCAGTAATTCCATTCCACAAGTGTTTTCTCTGTCTCCTCTTCACCCAAAAAGCAACAAATAAATTAACATTCAGAGTGAAAATCACCAAGAACCACTTCTAAGGCTTCAGTTTTAAGCTCCTTGCATGTCACTACTGATCTGCAGAACAAACTGGAAAGTTGAGCCTGTGTAATGAATCCAGAATCAAAGTAAAATGCAGACCTGCTTCTAGAACCTAGCAGCAACATGCGGACCTTAATATATGTGTTGGTGTAAGGGAAACTCAAGTTATTTCAGGATTCCTGTTTCTCTATAGTACTCGAATTAGAATTTGCACATTGGCCATTGTAGCGAGGGGTTCATAAGCTTTCCCCAAATCAAGAAAAGTTGGTCACTTACCCATCATTAAAAAAAAGGTGCATCTCTCAAAAAGAGTTCAAAGAAAGGGCTCAGATTTTCTTACTTATTTGCATTGGCTAAAGTTGCATAAAAATGCAATTACCATAGTGCAAATAGAAATACAAATCATCACACCACAGTATGGAGGACCAGCTGAGATGTGTGCTTGCTTAAGCCTCTTGTCTTGGGTAGTTCTCTGGCTGAAAGTTGACTCTCATGAATGTACAGTGGTACCTCAGGTTACATACGCTTCAGATTACATACGCTTCAGGTTACAGACTCTGCGAACTCAGAAATAGTGCTTCAGGTTAAGAACTTTGCTTCAGGTTGAGAACAGAAATCGTGCTCCGGCCACACGGTGGCAGCGGGAGGCCCCATTAGCTAAAGTGGTGCTTCAGGTTAAGAACAGTTTCAGGTTAAGAACGGACCTCCGGAACGAATTAAGTACTTAACCCGAGGTATCACTGTACTATTAAAATAGGAGTCATCTGTGGCAGACCTGTTCTCCCAGGGAGTCTGGATCTTAATTTACTGTTCTCCCAACTTCAGGACTGACACGCAAGGAGAGATGTAGCACTTGGGGACAGTCACAATCTCCTAGCAAAGGGCAAATTTTTCTCCCTTTTGATGAAAACATCACATACCACCCCAAAATTATTCTTCACTATGAACCTCACCCCTCAAAAGAAAAAACCCATCAACATTGCAATACTGCTTACACTTGGATCCCTCATGCTGGTTCAGGGCTTTGGAGAGTGTAAATGACCCTTCTAACTTCGAACTTTTCCTTAGTTTTTGCTATATGAAAAATATACAAATTATTAAAATACGAGCTTCTGTTGAAATATATTTACTTGTGCCTCTGGACCTGTAATTAATTGTAAACTTTTGCAGTTGGAAAAGATTGCTAAATAATGCATTTACAGAGCTTAAAAAACTGAGATATCTGTTATTGACCTAGTTTGCTTGCTGTAATTACACAGTAAGGAAAGATTTACGTGAGCAAAAATAATGTTATTAAAGTGACTCTGTTTAGAAGGGGAAAAAAGGAATTATGCCCCAAGCTTAATGACTGCTGCCATGACAATGAAGGAACCCAACTTGACAAAACCTTTACTCACATGAATTGTTTTTAGTCACATGTTAGCTTCACCTCACTTTTCACTGGATTGAGTGCCGTAAGTCAGAATTTGCCTCAACGTTCAGTTCTAACCACAGGAAATGCTTAAAACTATCCTATCCAGAGTTTGCGCCACACAATGTTGGAATCGGTCCTTTAGTGTGGTGGTTCCTATCCTTTACAACTTCCTCAGACACCTTTTCTATTGGGCTTTTGGCACCTGTTGAAAACATGCCTTTTTAGCAAGTCCTTCATGGGAAGCGATTCATAAATGAATGAAACAAACAAACAAACAAACAAACAAGAACTGTAATAATGATTTTCTCAAATGTGTTTCATTTATTATCTTTTCCTCCTATGTCCTTTGAAGTCAGATGGATGGCTGTTGTTGAAAGAGCTTTTTCTGTGGTGGCCCCTAAACATTTGAACTCACACCCTAGGCATGTTCGCCTGACACCATCTTTATTCTTTCTAAAGAGCCAGGCAAAGTCTGCCCTGTTCTCTTGTGCTTTTCATGGAATTATCGGTACCTCTCTCTTCTCAAATCCTCTTCAAAGGGAATGGTATTTCGTGGTATTTAAGATCCTTCACTGAGGGCACTCGGATGTCACAGAAAACATAGTGAATGGTTTACTGTGTACGCACCATCATATGAATGGGGAAGGAATTCAATTTGCTTTTTAATGTGAACCTGCCTGATTCACATTTCCGGGGGGGGGGGGAGTGAACCACAAAGCAGCTATCCTTTGAAATTTGCACTGCTCTGATGGTTCTCCAACCGAAAATTGTATACAAAATGGGGGGAAGCGTATGTATCTATGAGTGAAGTTAATATACAAAAAAATGCATTGTGTAATTAGGCAAAAGTATTTGCAAAAATATGTATAGTAAGCAGGATTGCATAGAAGAATGTGTATAATTAGGGGGTTGCTTGTACTACAAGCAGCTATATTTTTCCCCATCTCGGTTTAGGACTAAGGGCCAAGCATATTCACTATTTGATCACTCCAGGAACTGGTAGTGACTTGTGCATGCGAATGGACCGTCTCAGATGGAACTTCGGTATCACCTCTCCCAACCATGTTTTTTCAATGTTGCACCAACACCAGAGGTGTCTGTGCAACCCTAGATTCCTTGAGAACCACAGCATGCTCTCTTTCTTGGAAAACTATGTACAGTTCTGGTCCTCTCACCAAATAGGGGAGAGCTGGAGAAAGTTCAGAAAGGGGCGACCAATGTGACCAAAGGGTTGAAGCAAATGTTTTATGAGGAAAGGTGAAAACATTTGGAGCTTCTTAGTTTCAAAGAAAAGTGAGTAAGAGGGTATGATAGTGGTGTATAAAGTTGGGCATGGTATAGAAAAAGTAGATAAGTAGTTTTATCCCACCTACACTAGGACTTGGGGTCAATCCAATGAAGCTAAATATTGGAAGATTCAGGAAAAGACGAAAGGGGATCTCTCTTCACACAGCGATTAATAATAATAATAATAATAATAATAATAAATAGTTAAACTATGGAATTCACTCCTGCCTGCTATAGTACAGTGGTACCTCGGGTTACATACGCTTCAGGTTACATACGCTTCAGGTTACAGACTGCACTAACCCAGAAATAGTGCTTCAGGTTGAGAACAGAAATCGTGCTCCGGCGGCGTGGCGGCAGCAGGAGGCCCCATTAGCTAAAGTGGTGCTTCAGGTTAAAAACAGTTTCAGGTTAAGAACGGACCTCCGGAACGAATTAAGTACTTAACCCGAGGTACCACTGTAATGGCCACTGATTTTAAAAGGGGTTCAACAAATTCATAACAGATAAGACTATCAGTGGCTACTAGCCAGGATGACTATGTTCACTCTGTACTGTTGGAGTCAATATTTGTCTGAATATCGGTTGCTGTGAATCAGTGTGGGGAGAGTGCTGTTGACCTCATGTTCCGCTTGCATAGGCGTCCAGTTGGTGACTGTGAGAACAGGATGCTGGAAAAGAAGATCCAGCAGAGATCTTCAGATATACTGCCTCCCCAGACTTTTGCTGCAGAACCTTCTGTGCTTAATCCTCGACTGTGTACACCCCATACCTTCAAAGCACATGACTTCCCCCAAGGAATCTTGGGAACGTTTATTAAGAGTGCTGGGAACTGCAGCTTTTGCTTGTGTTCTAGGAAGCTGCCTTGTAGCAGGTCACCTTATTAGTGCATCTAAGACAGTGTCCTTAGACTTCTGGCAGTGGCTCTCCAAGGTCTATGGGAGAGGCAGAGATCTTTCTCATTATCCACCACCCATTTCTGTAAACTGGAGATGATGAGAACTGAATTGGGGACCTTCTGCATCCACAACAAGTATAAATGGCACCTCCCCCAAGTCTAGTTGCTGTACTTTCCCATATAACCTCCTTTTAATTCATTTGTACTTCTCCTAGGGCCCTTGTATTTATGGCTTAGGGCCCTTGTATTTACGGGACCGCCTCTCCTGGTATGCCCTGCAGAGGACCTTAAGGTCCATGAATAACCATAGTTTAGAGGTCCCGGGTCCTAAGGAAGTCAGATTATCCTCCACCAGGGCCAGGGCTATCTCAGTGATGGCTCCGACCTGGTGGAATGCTCTGTCCTATGAGACCAGGGCCCTGCTGGATTTAACCTCCTTCCGCAGGGCCTGTAAGACAGAGCTATTCCTCCTGGCTTTCAATATTCTCCCCTGGCCTCCTTGCTGGCCCAAATAGGACTAATTTAGCCAGCTAGCCCTGGTGATCATCTAATGTTTATTGGATGGATTTCCCCCTAAATTGATTTTAGAACTTTATTGTTATTCACGCTTTTATACTGTATTTTATGCTGTTTTTTGTTGTATCACAATTAAGTGTTTAAAATTTGTTGTTAGCCGTCCTGGGCCCGGTTTCTGAGCCGGGAAGGGCGGGGTATAAATTTAAAAAATATTTATTTATTATTTATTTACACCATTCTGCTCTGTCCCTTATTTCTCCTGCTCTGATAACTTCTGACCCTCTGCCCCAGTCTGTAACCACACCATGTCATCATCTGGGTCACTATTTGACTTGTACATTTGAACACTTCCAGATTCTGCAAGGCACAACCAGTCAGGGATGTAGCATGGGGGGGGGGGACAGAGGATGTAGCCCCTGGCACACAATTTTGTAAACCAGGCACACCCATTCAGGGATCCCTGTTCCACCCTGCCTGCCGCTCGGGGCCTCTGGCCTTGTCTTGCCACCATGTCCCCGGCCCCCTTGCTGAATGGCCGCCCTGTGTGGGCAGGCAGGCAAGCGGCGCAGAGCAGCCCCACAAACCCTCCATGGTGTCAGTGCTGAGTGCTGGGCTGGCACAGCCGATTTTGTTCACCCTCCTCACCCTGCCCCCTGTCCTGCCCAGTACATGTGCATGCATGCGCACATGCCCCGGGTGCCAGCAAAGGATGCAACACAACTGCAACCATTCTCTTACAAAACACCTCTATGCTGTCTTTATTACTCATGCACTGACTGTCCAAACAAAGGAGTTTCGCTTCATGTCTTTCTCCCCCATGCTCACACTGTGATTCCTCAGGACAATACATACATAATGTCTTATCAATATTTCAGGTATTCCAACTTTTGTCTGACTTGTCCAGCCAATCAAAAATATATTGATGTCCAGAAATTATAGTAACAAAATGCTACTACAACAGGCATCCATCGGTGTGAATGATATATTTTTACGTCAAGGGAACCTTCAGCTCAATCAAAAAGAAACCTACTTGGTTTCAATGAGTCTGAGTTTGTCGTAAGTTTGCTTAAGGTTCCACTCCTAAAGAGGAAAATCCCACTGTTTCTACAATCTGGTGACCTGCTGCCTCCTATACACACCCCATCAGTCCTCAGAGCTGTCATTTGAATGGGCTACTGTGCATAGTTGCTAATGTTAGATTGCTTTTGTAGCTTAGGGATGTTTTGTTGTTTCAGTGTATTGTCACTTGCTGTACACTCGCTACCTCCAAGCATATGATCATGTAGGGAGAAACATCGCATTTACTAAAAGTTCACAAACGCACGTTGCAGTGATTTCCTCCACAGGAGTGACAGCACAAAGTACTGCCGCAATCGTGGAAATTGCTGCAACGGGGGACTAGTGTACCGATGGCTCACGCAATACTTTTTCCATGCAATTACAGCTGCACATGTAGCCTGCAAGTAATTGTGCTGAGAAAATGGCTGTGGAAATGGTTTCATTGTCATAAAGTTGAGTGGTGACCACCCACAAACTTTCTTTACCTGTCTAGTATCTGTAGAATCCAAGTCTAACACAGCAGAAAAGCCAGACAAGTCGTCTTCTTCTTTATTACCAGTTTGTCTTATGCAGGGATCAGAGATAGTAGAAGGCCACTTTTCAACAGCCAAATTACCTTGGTCATACATTGTAACAAGGTTATTATAGACTACAATCCCATGCATAGGTACTCATGTATACGTCCCGCTGAATCAGTGGAACTCAGCCACACACAAGTGACAGCAGGACCAAATCCATAATCTTTAATTGCTCCTCAAAATACAATACAAAGCACAACCTGGCCAATGTTTTCATTTAAAAACAAACAAACCATGAAACATTTAAACCACAAGCATTGAGGACCTAGATCCCTCATTACAATAATAAGCAAACGACGAGCACAGCTTTACATGCTTTCAAACTGAAACCAGTATTTGCTACGAGAAGAGAAATGGCCTTACCATGCAATGCATCAGGAGGAGAAAATCACCGAGCATGCTGCAGAGCTTAAGCTCAGCATGGCATCCAGATTCCCTTTGGAATGCGTGAAGATTGTCCAACCCATCCTTCCCAGCCAAGCGGACAAGTTTTCTCTAGGCTTGAATTTTTCACCAGGAGTCAGAGCTTTCAAGTGCATTGTACTTTCTTCATTGAGAGGTATGTTTCCTCCAGTTACGTTTCAGCTCTGCAATGCCATTTCCAATCAGCCTGGAGAGGTTCTTCATTCCGAGATCTGTGCTGTCATCAGAGATTCCAAAGGAAAGGGAGGAGGACAGAGAGAGAGAGAGAGAGAGAGAGAGAGAGAAGTATTTTAGTGAAGCTCTGGAGTAGCTAACCAAAAAGGAGGAGGGTGCATTTTGCTCCACTGCAACAAAATTTTGCCCATCCCCCCTACAAAGAGGCAATTATTTTCTAATGAACCAACTTTCGCAATTCCCACATAGTGCATATTTTGTAATTGCAGCTCAGTTTTCCACAGCCGACAAATGACTCCCTCTGCTTTAAAAGAAGATTAAAACAAGAAACTCCCCATTTCTCCTTTCCTAACCTGTGTTAGGTCAAACGTTAGAAATTCTGCCTTCTCTTTAGAAAGCGGTTGGGATAAGAGAGGCGACAAATTCGCCGGAAAGGGGAAATCCTCCAGCCAAGAGAAAAGGCCGCAGGCTGATTCACTCTGGGGCTGCTTACTCTGAATTCAAAAGAGAGATGAACCAAAGGACTGTGATCCTTAAGAGAGGGAGTGGTGGAGAAGTGGGAGGGAATAACCAAAGTGATTGAGATTCTGGAGTCAGATACTTGTTTATTTCCTTGACATCTGGTGGGAGGGTGTTCCACAGGGTGGGTGCCACTACCGAGAAGGCCCTTTGCCTGGTTCCCTGTAACCTCACTTCTTATAGAAAGAGAACTGCCAGAAGGCCCTTGGAGCTGGACCTCAGTGTCCAGGCTGAACGATGGGGGGTGAAGACGCATACATCTCAGGCATATGTCTTCTTATCACTGCTTGTTCCTTTCACTTGAAGATGCTGGAAATTTAATATGGGGCCCTGGCCTACTAACTCACTGCAACAGATCACAGCACTAGTGCCTTGCCTCTGCCTGCTGTTGCTGCCCACCAACTCAGAAGAGTATTCAATAATAGAGTTTTGCCCAGATCTCCTTCAAACCTACTGGAAAGCTCAGACACAAATTAAGCCTTTGTAGTTATGCTTAAAGCAGTACTGCCTGGTTGGCGCTGACAAGTGACAGGTTCATCTCACTGGCAGTTTCTCCATTTGTGGAATGCCCTCCCTATTATTTTATTTGTTTGTTTGTTAAATTCATGGAGAAAAGGCTATCAGTCTCTTGATACTATGTCTCTTGATATCAGTTGCTGCGAATCACAAGTAGGGAAAGTACATTCACATGCTGCTTGCAAGTTTATGTTCACGTATCTAAAAATATGCATTCATTAAGTTGCAAATGAATTAAATGTGAATGTGAGGCTCCTGCTCAGGTAAAACAGTTGAATAATTTGGAAGGCAGTTAAAAGAATTCTGACTAATATTTAGCCAAATTACATGGTTTGGCTCATCTGCCACCACTGCATTGCAGCCAATGGAAGTTTACTTTCCAAATTCGGAAAGCCGCATTCACAGCCCAACCACTGTATGTATTTCAAGAGGAGTTTGCAGTATTTCTCTTAGACATTAGCCGGGTTCCATGGAACTGCCTTAAATCATACCATTGGTTTTGTACTGTTAACTTTGATGGACAGTGACTCTCCAGAAGCTCAGGCAGAGAGACTCTTCAGTGCCCAGTAGCTAGGGATGGATGCCATCAGTCCATTTCTGGAGCTAGTCACTGTCACATGCATTCATTCATAAGTGGCTTCACTGCTATTTCCACATTAAAATGCAAAAAAAAAAATAATACAGTAAAAAAAACTACTGGAAAAAATCACATTTAAACATGTACTTTCTCACAAAATAACAATTTCTAAACATAGTTTATTTCTAATATTTTCATATTTCATATTCTAATATTTTTTCTCGAGAGTCCAATGGACTGCAAGAAGATCAAACCTATCAATTCTTAAGGAAATCAGCCCTGAGTGCTCACTGGAAGGACAGATCCTGCAGCTGAGGCTCCAATACTTTGGCCACCTCATGAGAATGAGAAAAGACCCTGATGTTGGGAAAGATGGAGGGCACAAGGAGAAGGGGACGACAGAGGACGAGATGGTTGGACAGTGCTCTGGAAGCTACCAGCATGAATTTGACCAAACTGCGGGAGGCAGTGGAAGACAGGAGTGCCTGGCGTGCTCTGGTCCATGGGGTCATGAAGAGTCGGACACGACTAAACGACTAAACAACAACAACAACATTTTCATCCAACTCTACAATTCTATGATTATCTGAAACAGGGGTGGGTCACAGGATCTGGGTGGTAGGCCAGATTCTTATCTCCACATTCAAACCCCGCAGGCTAAGTTTGACACCTGATGTCACAATGACACCACATGACCCATTTTTGCCTTTGCAGGGTGGGGAGGAAGTGTGCAGTTCTTTCCACACTCCAACAATAAGCTGATTGTCAGCACTGGGGAAACTGTGCACACTTTTCCCAAGTGCCGACAGACAGCTGAATGTTGCTGCCAGAGAAGTGTTGTGCAAGGGGCTTTGCAGGCAGTGCTGATCAGTAAAGCCTTTTTCACCCAAGACCTGCTTTTACTTGCCCAACAGCTTGCACCATATATGAATCTCCCAGTACTGGTTTTTCCCATTGTCTTCATTTTTCCAATCTTAAATTTAGTTCTCCACATTACTGTGGCATTTGCAAGAAGAAGAAGAAAATCTTCATGAAGATTCATCAGCATTTAAGTGCAAAATTCTCCTAATAAACACATTATTGTATGCACTTTTAACTAAAAATTAACTAACACATTTTTGCAAGAAATTTCCCATGATATAATGCATTTTTGTATATTGTTTTCACTAACATATGTGTTCTTCTGCACACACACAGACACCCCAATATATACATTTGGTACATATTGTTTGACTGGAGCACTGCATTGCAAAATTCAGAGAAGTGTGAGTTCCAAAGGATAGCGACGTTTCACTTTGCGTGTTGTTTCAAGAAGTGTTAATTGGGAATTTCCCCATTAAAACACAAACAAAAACTAATTTCGCCTCCATCTCTACTCCCCCATCAGTCACCTCAAAATAAGGTTAAGTGCAACAAAACTCTATACCACACCCATGAGAACATCACCAAAATTTCACATACACACACATGCATATGCACAAACGATAATATTCATATGAAATTTATTTTTTCATTAATTGGTAGAGAATGAATAAGAAAAAGCTGTAGTCAAGAGTGCTGAGAGTTGTTAGGAGACCCCTGTTTCCTGCCCAGAGCTACAATTCTCAGAGTGGTTGTCGATTCCTCTTCCTCACAGAGAACTCTAGGAACTGTACCTTTCTGAAGGGACTGGTGGTCTGCATAGCAGTGACAATCAGCTGATTATTTGGTCTTATGAAGTGCCATGCATGGGTCAACTCAGCTCAAAAACATAGAGTCAGAAAAGATCTAGAACCAAAGTGACCAAGGGGTTGGAGTGACTCTCCTATGAAGAAAAATTGCAGTGTTTGGGACTTAAGAGGTAACATGATAGAAGTTTATAAAATTATGCATGGCATGAAAGAAAGTGGACAGAGAAAAACTCTTCTCCCTCCCTCACAACACCAGAATTCACAGACACCCAGTGAACCTGAAAATTGGAAGAGTCGGGACAGATAAGTTATTTCTTTGCACACAGGAAGCAATGATGGCCACCAACTTAGATGGCTTTCAAGGAGGATGAGATTAATTCATGGAGGAGAGGGCTATTGATGGCTCCTTGTCATGATGACTATTCTCTGCCTCCACGTTGGAGGAAGCAATGCTTCTAGATACCAGTTGCTGGAAACCACAGGAAAGGAGATCATTCTTGTGCTCAAATCCTGCTTGTAGGTTTCCCACAGACATCTGATTGGCCCTAGAACAGGATGCTGGACTTGAGGGCTTGATCCAACAGGCTCTTCTTATGGTCTGACGTCTTTACAAGCATCAATGATCAACTGATTACAAGATAACTACATGAAGACATAGCTTTTCTTGGAAAGCCCTTCTCAGGAGAAACGACAGCTGCCAGTCAGCAGCTCTCAAGAAGAACAAAGAAGAATTTGCCTCAATTCCTGGAATTTCAGCCCCCCCCCCCCTTGGAGAACCATCAGAACGTCCGCACCATTTCACAACTCTGTGAATGGGTCAGCAAAATGTGTGTGAGGGGTTGAGTTCATGCTCAGCATTAGTCCTGGACAGGCCTGGGCAGAGGTGGGGCAGCAGAGTACACTTGCTCCAGGCCTCAGAAGGGTGCTGCTGGACTTACACAATCATGACAAGAATGCCCCGTGCCTCCTAGCCGACCGGGGACTCTCACCCTGGTCTCAGATAAGCTCTGCATGGGCCGGGCCTGGGCCTGGGCCTGGAAAGTGTGAAAAGAACACACACGACCATGTTTTACAGTCATAGAGTCAGAGAATTGTAGAGTTGGAAGGGACTGTGTGGATCATTTAGTTCAACGCTCTGCAATGCAGGAATATGCAGCTGTCGTACATGGAGGCTGGCAATGCTATTTTTCTAGAAAAAGAGGTGCCAGAACTCACCATGAATACCTCCCTTGTTGTTTTATAATGACAATGGCGCGCACCTGAGAGGTGCCAGAACTGAGTTCTGGTGAGTTCCAGCTGGAAAAAAGCTCTGGGAGCAAGGGGTGTAGGTTGGAAGTGATAGACAAGCTAGCTCTCATGAAAACTTGACTACCCTTGTTCAACTTCTCATTCAAATTCTCATGCCAGAAGGTGACACGGCACACAGTTTAGAAGCCACTGTCCTAACTAAATTGCACTTCAGTTTAGAAGCCACGTTTTTGGAATGC